GATCGCACCTCGAAAGCTCTCTTGATCGTTGTTTAAGTTTCGACAGTATTTTTTACCAATTTTGTGAACTTTCCTGAACCCGAAAGCTCTATCGGACCTTAGGTAGGAGGATATCTCCATCCCGAATTTTACTCAAATCACTGAAGGAGTAACAAACTCGCATACATACAAACTTTCGTATTTATAAATAATCTTGTATATATAAATAGGCTAAGACAACAGTTCAGTACTTAATTCTGTTAATACTGTTTGTCAACCGATTTTATCTTTTGTTTTGTTTAGTAGCTATTGACGAGCATTAATGTTATCAATTAAAAATTGGAAATAGTTTATTTTTTTTAATGCAGATAGGTAAATTCCATTCCTGTTGTATATTCCATACTATTGTATTTCTTAAATTTACAACAATTATTGTAGTCTTTCGACCACTCGACAATATCTAGTACATATTTATAAGTTTGATGAATATTGAAAAGGCTTTTGCCCGATTTTACACACATCCCATTAGCTACCATCTACGTATGGGATCCCTAGCTTAAAAGTTCCCCTAAACTAGCCCCTAAACTAAATTTCGTTTTACCATCATCAGAGCCTGTATTTCTAGTACCTATATTTAGGTGGCATTTTAACATTTAGGTGACCCCTAACTGTCGGTGAAACAGAAACTGTCCCCTAACAGCCCCCTAACCATGCTTAGGGGATCCCTTAAGCTTGGGGACGTTGGTGAAATCGGCCATTTGACATGTGTCTCATTATAATGTTAGTGAATTACTCGATAATATTAAAATTAATTAATTAAGGTAATTCAATTATAATTATTGTGAGTTAAGGTTTTAAGAAACGTCAGTTCACTGTAACTAGGAAGGTATTTCCCGTATAGTTTGTATTAGGAAAACATATAATTATATGTTTTATAAGAACATGACGCACCTATATTTTAGCTTTTTATTCGAACAGTACCTACCTATCTTATAAGTGTAATTTGTACTAGCAGAACCCGCAGCTTCGCTCGCGCTAAAACTATAACAACTAAAAAGATAGGTTTCATACAAACTTTCATCCCCTATTTTACCCCCTCATAAGATTAATTTCGAAAAATGCTGAAGCACGTATTTATTTAATTGTATTGAAGAGCATATATACGAAGTTTCGAGTAATTCTAATCCAAAAAGTTTTTTTGGCTTGTATTATAACGTGTATTCCCGTGGGAATTTGATAATTTCCCGCGATAAAAAAAGCCTATGTCACTGTCTCCATACAAAAAATCATGCCAATCCGTCACTCTGTTTCGACGTTAAAGAAGGATAAACAAACAAACACACTTTCACATTTATAATTTTAGTACGGAATATGGATTGCTGAGATCTTGTTCTTTAAATGTAAGTTATATCAAAATATTATAAGTTGTAAAAATTAACTGATGTAGACTAACATAATAAAAATGTAATGTTGGTGCGTTCGAATGAGGTATGAGTTATCTATGCATATAATAAAATTGTAACTAAGCCGAATCTGTAAATTAAATATTTTTTTGAAAATCTTATTGAAATTATTATCGATACAGAGGCCGAATCTATAGTTTATAGAATTTTTGTCTGTCTGTTGTCTGTCTGTCTTTTTTGTCTTTTATTTTGATGAAATTTGGTATGGTGATAGCTGGTTATCCGGGTCAACATATAGGATACTTTTTACCGCGGGAAAATATCTCATTTCTGAGAAAAAATACAAAAACTGCAATGTAAGAGTATAATAATATGTAAAATCTAAGAATTTGGTTTTTGGTCATCTGAACGTGGGCGAAGTCGCGGGCAATGCTAGTACTCTATAATCTATTGATCTTGATTCTGAAAGTTAAGCTTTTTTGCGAGTACATATATCATTTGCTCGCGGCTTCACTAGTGTAGTTTATTTTATATAATCGCTTTCCATAGGGCTTTAGCATGTAATGTTAGCCCACTATTCTATAATCTTCCTTAATAAAATTTCTTCCAATGCCGTTTGGTGGTTCGAGAGAGAGTATTTGTTTTTTTTCTTTAAACGTTCAAAGCAACAAAAAAAACAATATCTTTAGATTTATTATATTAAGTAGGTAGTATAGTTACCTATTCGTGGCTCTATTCATAAAAAAAGCTTAGTGGATTTATATGAACTTCTTCATGCGTAAATTTTAGTAGGTGTTGTTTTAGTAAATGTTAATTAGGAAATATTAAAAAAATATTAAATATAATAAAAAAAACATAATTTTGTCAAAATTATAACATTTTTATGCTAACTACCTTATTAGAGTACAAGCATGATATTAAATATAGATATATGTTCGATAATAATATAAGATACGACAATCTTAAGATAAAAAAATGTAGAAACTGGAAAGTGTACCAAAGCATTTTTATCTAAATCCGTACCTGTGTTTTAACTGACACGGAGTTGGTTCTTTTGCACTTTATGAGTAAAGTGTCTACTTACAGTCTTTAATCTAATAAATTATCTTACTGGTTTTGAATACCTAATTTGTGTAAAAAATTAAAATTTTTCCTTATCTTTCATATTTAGCTTTATCAGTGTAACTATAATAATGAATTGTAACTATTGTTTTGGAGACACATATTCGTAGTAATATATTATGTGAAGCGTTTTTGTGTTATCATCAATTATGGTTTTTTTTCTTTATAATGTTATTCAATTTTTATATAAATTATATATTGTATACAATTAGTTTATGAATTAAGATAATATAAATAATTATAATAGTTTTGGACGAATATGAGTAAACTACAAAAGTTTATTTATGAAATAGATTTAAAATGCAGTTTAAAAATGCAAAGGCAAAGTGATTTTTTTTAAGTGTTACTCCTTATAACATCAGCTATCTGCCAGAGAAAGTCCCGTCAAAATCATTTCAGCCGTTTCGGAGATTAGCCGGAACAAACCGACAGGCTGACAGACAAACATATTAATAATCATATTTGTCTTATAAATAAAATTATATAATTTCATATAATGCATTTAGTAAAAAGTTTTTATTTCGATATTACATACAAACACTTTATTTATCTGTATAGATTTATTGGCTTACGTTGAACGGTCCACAAAAATATTTGATAAGATACCGCCTGGTGTAGAAAAAAATCTTTAAATTTTTTCATAGCTTTTAAGTGCCCGGAAGAATATTTATAAGTTTTTATTTTTTTGTGTCAATTTAAAAAAAAGTGCCTACTGAACGTGCAATAAGAATAGTTTTAGTTACATAAGTACCTAATACGATTATAAATTCGTCTAAGTAATTTAAGCTACTTGGAAGACTAGTGTTATAATTAAAACTTAATCTATAAACTACCTACAATCCACACTTGGTAGTTATAATAATAAGAAAATTTACTGAAAAATTTTCAGTTTATTTAAAAAGAATAATTTCGTAATAGTAATATGTAAAGTATTATTTATGTACCTATTACAATTTATATGGCAATACTAATTTTTAAGAATTTATTTACAATTCGCTAACAAACTAAAAACCACGTTTTTGGTAGTAACTAAAAATCAAACTCTCAAACACAGATTAATAAACCCAATTTCGAACTCCTAATAAAATCAAAGAAAAGTTCCACGATTATTTATTTAGAAGATTTATTTACATTCTTATCTATACTAATATTATAAAGAGGTAAAGTTTGTGAGTTTGTGACGTTGTAGGGAGTAATCTCTGGATCTACAAAACCGATTTAGATGAAATTTGGTAAGAAGATAGTTTGAGACACTGGGAAGGACATAGGATACTTTTTATCCTGGAAATCATCCCTTAAGGGGATGAAAATGGGGATGAAAGTTTTTATGGGGAATCAAGCTAGTAGCCGCTAGTAATACTCGTACTTATGATTTCATGCTATTTTCTTATTTTCTTGAAAACTGTGTGCACATAAAAGAAAATGATTTGGAAACATCTCATACCCTGTCAGATCGGTCAAGCCGCTACGAGAGATCGGTAAACATAAAAAAAAATATACGCATCTAAAATAATACGTTTTGAAAGTCGGTTAAAAACTATAGTGTTTGTAACTACCTAATGTATCATCATTATACCGTTTTTGATTACGTAACATTTTTATTGGCATTATTACTGCCCTTCAACTATCAGTAGTTGGTGTGAACACTTCCGTGATTTGAGGAATCCTTTGCCACACATACCGGCCTTGTTCAATGTAAGGTCGTTAGATTCCATGACTGTTGATAATTTAAATTAGATGACAAAATGGGTATGGGTCAACAAATATTGGTTGTTACAACTCTACGCTTATCGATACTTCTATTATAAACAGGCAAAATTTGTAACTTTGTGTGTCCCCACACTAATCTCTGAAATATCTGTAAGTAAAGATCCGATTCTAGAAATTCTTTCAGTAATATAAAGTCAAGCCCAGGTTGTATTGATTTGCTTGAAATCTATACATATATTAAAATTGTAACTAAGCCGAATCTGTACATTAAATATTTTTTGGAAAATCTTATTGAAATAGATATTATTATTTATTATCGATACAGAGGCGAAATCTTTAGTTTTTAGAATTTTGGTCTGTCTGTTTGTCTGTTACCGCATCACAGAAGAACCACTGGAGGGATTTTGATGAAATTTGGTGATAGCGGGTTATTCGGGTCAACATATAAGATATTTTTTACCGCGGGAAAATGTCTCATTTCTGATAAAAAAATACAAAAACTGCATTGTAAGAGTATACTAATATGTAAAACCTAAGAATTTAGTTTTTGGTGATCTGAATGCGGGCAGAGCCGCAGGCAATGCTAGTAAACTAATAAAATGTATTGCAAAAAGAATCTTAGGAACGTTCGTACTGGTATAGCAAAAAGCAGATTGTTATATCAAATTACTTAACATTAACCATGCATTTTATTATTTAAATTAAAAAAACAAAACTAATAAACACATTACGGATCTATTACAAAAATTTGCTTACATTGTATCATATTCTGTTACAGATAGTGATATGCAATTAGAAACTAGTAGCAGTGAAGCGAGCGCGGCGAGTTCCACGACGTTGTCCCAGCACTGTGCGATATGCGGCGACCGTGCTACAGGGAAGCATTACGGCGCGTCTTCCTGTGATGGTTGCAAGGGCTTTTTTAGAAGAAGTGTACGGAAAAACCACCTATATACATGCAGGTTCGTATGAGCAATCTTTATATATATATAATTCTTCTGTGAGTGTATATGTCACTGAACTTCTCTCAAACGACTGGACCGATTTTGAAGAAATTTTTTGTGTGTGTTCAAGGGGATCTGGGAATGGTTTAGATTCACAATTTGAATAATAATTTTCATCAAAAAAATTATTAAAAAAAGTTTGAAATTTTCAAATTAAAGACGTGTAGACAGGACAACGTCTGTCGGGTCCGCTAGTATGTATATATAACTATATAATAACTGCCTCGGTGGTGTAGTGGCTAGCATGTACGGCTGCACACTCGGAGGTCCTGGGTTCGAGTCCCGGGTCGGGCCAAGTTTAGTTATTAAGTCTTTCTGTATAGTAAGCCTCAGTAACAGCCCGGAGTTGGGAAGTTGGCGGTGTTTCAACCCCGAGCCTCGGAGAGCACGTAAAGCCGTCGGTCCGGCGCCTTAACTCTCACTGGTCGTGTCGAGCAGTCGTCCCACCGGATTATGAGAGTGACAGGAATAGAGAGTGCACTTGTGTCTGCGCGTACACTTGTCCACTATACCTAATATCTCCTGCGCAGTTGGCTAGTCTCAATGAGATTGGCCGCCGTGGCCGGAATCGGTCAGGAGAACATAATTACATCATGTATATATAATGAAAATTAATCTCTATTTGAGATAGTTGGATAAAATACCGTTAATATGCACAATAACAAAATGACATAAGATGGAAACTTTGTTGGTTGGCTATTTGTGCATATTTTATCTTTATTATTTATTTGTACTTAATAAAATCTAAATAACAAGAGAGTTGTGTCTTGTATTTCTTATCTTAGTCGAATACTTTCCGAAAAATTAAGTTCTCTACTAGAAAAAAAATGCTTATGGCTTTTAGTGAATGAAACTCAAACAAATTCTTTTAAATATTTACTAAGTTATGTAATTTAATTTTCAGGTTTAGCAGAAATTGCGTGGTAGATAAAGACAAAAGAAATCAATGCAGATATTGTAGGTTAAGGAAGTGTTTTAAAGCGGGCATGAAAAAAGAAGGTGAGTTTACGATTTGTTTTTCATTAATTATTTTTTATTGATTAATTAATTTAAAAAGTAATTAATGAATTATTATATATATTTATATATCTTACAATGTGCGGCTAGTACCAAGATTATTTATTTATAACTGCTTAACTTCTAAAGAATGTAGTATGATGTTAGACTGCCTTTATTAAGCTTTCTCGATAATCTATAAAGCTCTCTATTCTTGATAGCTATAAAAAACATTTTTTTTTTAATTGGGTAAAGATCTAAGTGTAGGATTCTAGAAGATTGGCGCATCGGAATAAACTAAATAACAAATAAACTTTTCACTTTTATATATTAGTATTTAAAACAGTGTTACAATATTATTTAAAAAAATGCACTATCATAAGTTCCATAGGTAGGTATATAGTTTATAAAGTTATAAATATTAATAAAATTCGTAATGGACATAAGTAGGTTTTGTTTGGATTAAATATTACAATGTAGCCTACTTTGTGTTGCAACGGAGCTGCTAAAACTAATTGGAATATTGACAGATTTTTTATATTTACTAATGTCAAACTGAAGCATTCATAGTATCTTAAACTTGAAGCAGTGGTAGCCCCGCTTGGATAACCGAGTGAAGCGGGTTCAAATCCCGGGTCTCGCACCTCTGATATTTTCATGTGCGAATCATATTCAACATGATTACCACTTGTCTTACGGTGAAGGAAAACATCGTGAGGAAACCTGCATGTCTGAGATAACCTAACAAGTTGTCGAAAGACATGTGAAGTCCACCAATCCGCACTTTTCCAGCGTGGTGGTCTATGGCCTGATCCCCCTCATACTGAAGGGAGGCCCGTGCCCGGCAGTGGGACGTTAAGAAGGGCTGAATACAATGTCAAACTGAAATTTATGTCAGCACGCCCCGTGATTCTTGGCCTCATTATTGTGACTTAACTATAGCAGTCGATATAATGTTAATTGTTTTTACTTGTAACTACAGCAAAAAAATAATGTATGAGTCAATAAATAACTTAGCAACTCGTGCTGCATTTTTTGCATAACTAATTTAACGTGACTAAGTCATATTAGTCATATTACATATAGCATAAAGCAGAATTGTCATTTAGATAGCTATAAAGACATATTTCATTTATTTACATATAATACCCATAAAAAAATCAATACATTATTAAAGATAACTTTAAAATATGTTTATAAATACAAATTATGAAGGTTAGTTATATTTGTATCTCTATATAATATAATAATTTAATATACTAGTTTAATTACAAGGCTTGACATGAGCGTTTAATATTTTAAATTAAATTTTGTTATATGTATAGATTATTAAAAAAAAGTATGTAATTACGTTTCTTTTGAACTGACGTATATTCTGGTGTATATTTTACTTAATAATATTGTAAGGACATATTTACAGCTAATTCTGAACGTTTTTAATAGTTTTTAAGATTTCGAAAAGGATTTTTTTTTTGTAGAAATCTAATACATATTTTCAAATTCCGAGGCCGCTGTAAACTCAACCATTACATACGAGATATTATTATATATTTTTCATTTCGTTTGCCTAGTATAGTATTTCAATTCATGAGAACTACATTAATAACTTTTCATACAACAAGTCACAATTGTCGAAGAGTTTCAGTTTCACTGATATTATTTCAATAAGAATGGCAAAGATGGGCATTAAATTGAAAAATCACGGTCATAATGTACTCGTAATAGGCCTCTTAAGCGCAAAAGAATAAAAAATTTGGTCAAGTGTGCGTCGGATTTGCGGGGTTTCCACCACTATTCCAAAAAATATATTTTAAATAGCTTCAGTATTACTGTATCACTACATATTCTTATGATGTATGGTTCACCGACCGTTATCAAAGGCATAAACATTCTAGTAATAAATACATACACATATTGACTTCACAAACTCATTTCCTTTTAAGATGTTATAAAAGAATCAACAACAAATTAATTACCGAGTTAATTAACTTATGTTATTATGATAAGTGTGAACTGGAAAAACAACATGTCTAATGTCATAAGATGTAAATATTTAATTCTTAGTAATTATTTTATTTATCATTTACATATATAATATTAGGTATATATCTACTTATGTTTCATTAAAATTTAAAAATTGGGATATTTTTTTTAATAATATAATATTTAGGGATGCATCCGATACCGATATCGATATATCGGTGATATCGTAAGTTTTCCGATAAATCGGTATCGGCGATATTCATTTGCCGATACACCGATACATTTGTATTAATTTAAGAATGTTGTGTTTATTGAATAAAAATCTCATAAATGTGAATTTTAAATATTAATTTCTAATCTGAACTTTATTATTAAATTGACATTTTTTTTATTACTATTTAAAAAAATACCTAATATTCTGGTGAATTACAATTTTCAAAACTTTGTGTGTTGATATCTTGTTAAAAGTTACATATGTAAGTAATGCTGATTGTTTCCGTGTTTTCTATCCTAAACCCACAGTTTTTAACTTTTTATAGCTTTTAAAGCCTGCGATGTCCGTATCGGTATCGGCGATACTTTTCTATAAATATCGATATCGGTATCCTGTCGGCAGAAGTGCATCTCTAATATTATTCCTCTTCGAAATGTGATGTGAAATATACTTAAGTGATATATTTAGTTGGTGGAATCTTACTTCAACCGTATTTGACTTACAATTAGTAAATTTTAATTAACATTTTTGCACAATGTTGATTTTATACTTACAAAGTGAAAAAGACAATGAGGGAATCAAACTCATCTTATTCATGTTATATTTAATCATATCCCATCGATAAATATATATATCAAATCAATAAGACAGCTTAAATGTGCCTCAATTTAATTTAATTTTGCCTTAGCTAATCACTAAGTAGAATAGATGAAAATAATTTTTAATTTTTTTTTTAAAATAATTATTTTTAAAATAAAAGAAAACAAAATAGTTCCCTATCTCTATTGATGTTTTATAAATGCTATATTATAATTATATGTTTATTACAGCAGTCCAAAACGAACGAGACAGAATAAACTGCAGAAGGCCTTCATACGAGGAGCCGACGCAGGCCAACGGTCTCTCCGTCGTGTCGCTGTTAAACGCTGAACTGCTTAGTAGAAAGGTTATAGATGAAGTAAGTTCAAATGTACTTTAAACTTAACATGATTTAGTCAAGTCAAAGGCCGTGGTAGCCCAGTGGTAGCGCGCTCGCTTGGGAAATCGAGTGAAGCAGGTTCAATTACCGGCTTACGCACCTCTGATATTTTCATGTGCGAATCATTTCTAACATAATACGGTGAAGGAAAATATCGTGTTAAAACCTGCATGTCTGAGAGAACCTAGCAAGTTTTCGAAAGACATGTGTAGTGTATGTGTGTGTGTGTGTGTGTGTGACTAGTATTGAAGGGAGGCCTGTGCCCAGCAGTGGGACGTTAAAAAGGGCTGAATTTATATTTTAGTCACTATTTAAAATATTGTTAGATAACTAATAAAAAAACTTTTTCTAAAGGAATAAGTAAGTATGTTGTTCGTCATGATATATATTATCTTCAATGGAAAGCGCCGAGTTTCTTGTGTAATTTACATTGTTTTTATTATGAAAACCTGCAATGTAATATAACAATGGGTTATTTTAATAATTTATTAACCATTTTAGTCAGTTGCTTTAATTTATATTCAAATACAATACACTAAGTTAAGGATATATCATTAAAATTCTTGCAGTAAAACTTAATCCATCTAGATCAAATGCATGTCATTGATTGATTGTGGACGACACGTTTGGCTCAGTTTGTAGTGACCCTACTGGCTGTGCCAGCGGTCGCGGGTTCAAGTCCCGCTGGGGGCATTCATTTGTGTGATGAGCACGAATGTTTGTAGTACAGTCATGGGTGTTTATATTTTTAATATGTATGTTTTTAAAGTTATACACGTGTAGTGTATCAACTATCTGGTATCCGTAACACAAGTCTCGTTGCTTACCATGGAACTAGATGGTGCTGTGTGTTAATGTCCTAACATATTTATTTATTTATTTATTGTAAGTATAGACATACTTACATTCTACTCACAATTATTAATTTTAATTAGTATTATTTTATTAAAAAAATGCAAAGATATAAAATGTATTACCTTGTCGAGTATCTGCTTTACATAACATAGCATGTTTTTTGTACATAATTATTTTTATGTAAGATGACTTCAGTTTTTCAAGGCCCTCCAGAGCCAGTTTGTCGACCTTGTGGTTAAATATTTGTTTATTTAAATTATAAATTATCACATATTTATAAAACACACTTATCTTAATATATTACAGAATTAACATTACTTTACAAGGTAATAACTATTGAATAATCAAAAATATATACATAAAAATATTATGTTTTATTACTCTATAATTAAATAGTCGAGAATTATATTTATCGTATCGCAGTTTAATTTAAAATCTAATATATAAATATCTCATGTCACGGTGTTTGTGGTCGAACTCCTACGAAACGGTTCGAGTGATTTTAATGATTTTTATATATATGTATATAGTATGAGAATAGGTCGTAAAGTATTTTCACCCTCCTACTCCCTCCCACCCCCCGTTTTTAATCGCGTTTTTAGTATTTTTGTATGAACAATATTTTAAATATACATAGTGACGAACCAAAAGCCAAAGGGTTTTCTTTTGTAGATTCAACGCGGGCGTAGCCACGGGTTCTGCTAGTAAGAATATAAAATTCAAAAACTGAAGACGCTACTGTAAAATTTTGCTTAATTATAAAATTAAGATAAATACAGATAATTGATATCGTTGCAAACATTCTGATTTTATTTTATCATGATAGAAAAATTACTAGCGATTTGAAGACAATTTGACAAAAATATCGTCTGTTTCAGGGTTCCGTACCCAAAGGGTTAAACGGAACCTATTATTAAGACTCCGCTGTCCGCCCGTCTGTCTGTCTGTCCGTTTGTCACCAGGCTGTTTCTCATGAACTGTGATAGTAAGACAGTTGAAATTTTCACAGATGATGTATTTCTGTTGCCGCTCTAACAACAAATACTAAAAAACAGAATAACATAAATATTTAAGGGGGCACCTATACAAGAGACATGATTTTTTCCCGTTTTTATAGATAATGGTACAGAACATTTGTGCACGAGTCCTACTCGCACTTATTATATATTATCTACATGGTTGAAGAGTTAATAAAACACAAACAAAGACAAATATCGGAAATTAGATTTCAATCTTAAGCAATAGTGACTTCACCAAACTCTTAAAGTTAATGGCGCAGTAATCTGTACTCAACTGGTACTCTTTGAAGAGAATTGAATTGAATAAAGTTAATGAAGCAATCTTCTTTTAACAGACGAACAACGTGACAGACGCAGAAATAAACAACAGGAAGCTGGCAAAGATCAACGATGTGTGCGATTCCATAAAGCAGCAGTTGCTCATATTAGTTGAGTGGGCGAAGTACATCCCCGCCTTCACCGAGCTACATTTAGATGATCAGGTATTTAAAATCTCAATTATAATAATTTACAGTACACCACGAGTTTTTTCTTAATGACATGCTGAAACTTCACGAGTAAGCTACTCGAGCACAAATAAGAAGAAAATGTCCTACAAAACAGATGGTTTGGATCAAATCGTCCCCCACTCCAGACTTGTTAAAATAAGAAAATCAAAATTTATTAATAACTGGCTGATTTTCATAGTATTTATTATTAAAAATATGCACAATTGAATGATCAAATCGTCCTACAAATAAAATTATAGGATGTCTCAATCCTACCCTCGGATATTGTCTACCGCACGGTGATAATGACGATTTAATCCAAACCATATACTACTGTGACAATAAGTTTTAATTATTTAAAACCCGAATGCAGATATACTAGAAAAGTGAAAACAAATAAAAATGCGATAAGTACTTCCTCTCCGTTTTAAAATCGGTAAAGAATAGAAAATAATTTGGTTATACACATAAATATTATATTGCCCGCGGCTCCGCCCTCGTTCAGATGACAAAAAACCAAATTCTAAGGTTTTACATATTAGTATATACTCTTACATTGCAGTTTTTGTATTTTTTTTTAAAAATGAGATCTTATCCCGCGGTAAAAAGTATCCTATATGTTGACCCGGATAATCAACTATCACTATACGAAATTACTCCCTCCAGTGTTTTTTCTGTGATGCGGTAACAGACAGACAGACAGACAGACAAACAAAAATTCTAACAACTATAGATTCGGCCTCTGTATTGATAATAATGTTTATTTCAATAACATTTTCTAAAAAATATCTAATGTACAGATTCGGCTTCGTTAAAATTTTATTATACATATGTATAGATATTGCCCGATTCAAATATATCGAAATCTCAGATTAAATATTGTATTTTTCTAAAAGATTCCCACAAAAGTGATACCTAACAATAAGAGCTTATATTATAATAATAATAATCATCTATGAATGAGGTAAAAATGAAACAAATTCTTATTGTGAACGTTCATTTTTCATAAAAATTTTACTGTCGTAGATGCATATATATTACCTTTTTTTAAATTAAAATAAATTTGGAAAATTATTATCTTTTAGATAAAGTGTGACATTTGTAATTTTATGTATATTTTTATTATTAATTATTTCATTATTAAATTTAAATTAAGTGTTTGATTAACAAAAAATCTTTTACTAAAATGTTAATTATTCATTTCAAACAATAATTTAGGAATTTCGGTAAATTTAAATATTTAAAATATTCTACTGTTTTATAATACTTACATATGTTTAGATACGAGTATCACCTTGTGTATTTATTCATGTCACGTACATAGAGATGCAAATGACTTAAGGTGAAAGGTGTAGGTTACAATTTGAACAGTCTGTGTAAATATATTTATCTGCTAACAATAGGTTAAAGATGACATGTTTCTTATACTATTTTTTACACTAGCTTATAATTGTTTTTAAACATTAACCATTTCACATGACCTCCCCGTTGTATTCGAGCGAGTAGAACGTGAAGTTTAAATTTGTACTGTACATGTACTTGACCGATAAAACCGATTATGATATATTAAAGACTAGCGGCTCACTTCACTCGGATTCGTCCCTAGGTTCGTAGTATGGAATAGATAGATAGAATTTTTGTCTCTCTGTCTGTTACCGCATCACGGGAAAACCACTGGATAGATTTTGATGAAATTTGGTATGATGATATCTCGTTATCCGGGTCAACATATGGGATAATTTTTACTGCGGGAAAATGTCTAATTTCTGAGAAATTTATACTAAACGTTCAAACGGAGTCGCTAGTAGTTATATATGCGTAGTGTATCAACTATCTAGTATCCGTAAGACGGCCTCGTAGCTACCAACATATTTATATTTAGTGTGCATATGTAATATGTATGTATACAATAAGCACGCGTGTGTCAGGTGGCGCTGCTGCGCGCGCACGCGGGCGAGCACCTGCTGCTGGGCTGCGCGCGCCGCTCGCTGCACCTCAGCGACGTGCTGCTGCTCGGCAACAACTGCATCATCGCCAAACACAACATCGGTACGCTTGCTTTCCTGTTTATCTTTCTGTTGTTGTAAATGTGATATTGTGTATGTTTATAATTTATATGTGTGTTTCTTCTAACGGCTGCACGGATTTGAATGTAATTTAATACACATATTATGGACTATTCTATACGTTCTAAAGTCTCTAGTTTGATTATATTTTTAGTATTTTTTTAGATTATAATTTAATTTATTATTAGATCACCATAATTAATTTCGTTAGAGTTTCTTGTCTTGTCCCGAATGATTCAATATCGCGTAGAATGGATAGTTTAATATGAAGAGCTAAACATTTTTTTTTAGCCTATTTCAACAGTGGTATTGGCAACCCCTAAGTAAAGGATTTTTGGGAATATGCCCCTAAATGGATAGCAAAGTTTGTATGCGTAGTAATGTAACAAAATAATTCCGAAAAATTAAAGTCATCGCGAGCGTATGTAATTAAAATTAAAAAAAAAGCGCACAGTTAATTGTAATATTTTATTCACTAAAACGTATGAGTCTACCAACAATTAGAAAAGAAAAAGTCTTAGTGTTAACACAAGAATCGACGAGAAAATCAGCGGAACCAAAAGTTATTTTTAAAATAAAATTACAAATCATGACGTTATCTAAGATTAGAATAACCTAAAGGCAAAAAAAAACTACATTTGTCTTTATATAATACTAGCGACCCACCCTCGCTTCGCTCGGGTTCGTCCCTACGTAGATTCCCCATACAAACATTCATCCCCTTTTTCACCCACTTAAGGGATGATTTCCGGCATAAAAACTATCCTATCTTCTTACCAAATTTCATCTAAATCGGGTCAGTAGTTTCGAAGCCTATTCGATACAAACAAAGAAACAAAAAATAAATCTTTTTATAATATTGGTATAGAAATAAAATTTTCATATTATTTTTTATTGAAAGTATTTATTTATTTTTTTAACTTAGACGGCAGAATGGACATCGACATCAGCATGATCGGCATCCGGGTGATGGACGAGATAGTGAAGCCGCTGCGCGAGATAGACATCGACGACACGGAGTTCGCCTGTCTCAAGGCCATCGTGTTCTTTGATCCGAGTAAGTTTGTAACTAGCTTTTAATATGGAGTGTCTTGAGCGGAATATTGGAGTGAGTTAGACAGCTACATTTATAATAATATGTGTACGATGCTAACTAGACAAAGAGTTCAAGATCTAAATATATACGTAAAATTGAATTGTCTGTTTGTAATGTCCAAATAACAGCTTTTTACTAAATGCATATGAAATTATGTACGGTACTTATAAGAAAAACACATTTTTTTAATTTTTTGTTTGTCTGTCTGTTCCGGCCAATCTCCGAAACGGCTGGACTAACTTTGACGGGATTCACTGGCAGATAGCTGATGTTATAGGGAGTAACTAAGGCTACTTTTATTTCAGAAAAAGAATTAGGGTTCCGCTCAAAAAAAATAAAACGTACCTAGGAACACAACTGAGCGAAGCGAGAGTCTCTACGATAATATATTAAATATTTGTGTGTGACCACCAAGATTCCTTAAAGCGTTCCAATCGTTGGGAGTTTAATTTCAAATTCCGCGTCAAAATCCGAAAAAAATGTTTCATTTAAACTTCTTGACCGAAAAATATAACTCTTTTAACTAACGAATGGTCGACGAACGTACTTATATAGTGTATTAAATATTGATATTAGTAATTTTAATTGATTACATCGATAAATAAATGATTCATTATGTTAAGGTGACCTATGTATCACATCACTTTATGATTAACTTTTCTCACGTGAACTCAAGCAAATCTCCACGATAACGTTCTCAATTTAATGCTGTAAAATATAAGATAACGGGTGTTCGTTGTTTTTATGATACATTTGATAAAAATATCTACGTGAAATGACGAATTCTTAGGCCACTTCTAACACTTTTAATCAGTAACTGTACGTTTCGATTTTTAATTGAAAAGATTTTGTTGTGAAAGTCAAAGAAACGAATCATTTTTTATCTGTTTGAGCTCACATCCCTGAGAGCTCTAATCAAATATCAAAAATGTCAAAAGATTTCTCATATTAAAATATAGAAATGTACAATACAGTAGAAAATAAAACACCTCGATAATTTGCGGATCAACGCCATCTATCGGCTATAAAAGCAAACAAATTACTCAAATTAAGGCTGTAAAATTTCTTTGTATCAGATGGCTGAGTGGATATCTAAACTTGTATAGTATTGTGTCATCTGTGCTTCTGTCATAGAAATGGAGATTTACATTTACTTTTTGTACTGAATAAAATTCGTTTGTATATATAAGATAATACAATGTTTATACCAACTAATTCTTAATATAGTGTACTAAATTCGCACAAAATTAATGAATTTTCTCACGCCTGAAGAGTTTGAAAAAAATATTTTAGAGATACTCGTATGTCCTTTGACCACATATGCTTTTAATTTGTTTATCATTTATTTTTATGGGTCATAAACATAACAAAACTCACTTCCAGACGCAAAAGGCCTGTCCCAGCCGCATAAAATCAAGCAGCTACGCTATCAAATCCAGATTAATTTAGAAGACTACATCAGCGACAGGCAGTACGATGGCCGCGGGCGCTTCGGAGAGCTTCTGCTGTGCCTGCCGCCATTGCAGAGCATCACGTGGCAGATGATAGAACAGATACAGTTCGCCAAGCTGTTCGGCGTGGCCCACGTGGATAGCTTGCTGCAGGAGATGTTGTTAGGGGGTATGTGAATTTGTATGTCTCATAAAAATCCATACAGTCGCCACCGTAGGTAGTAGTTAAAGGGCAGTGATAGCCCAGTGGTGACGCTCTCGTTTGAGAAATCTATGACGCGGGTTCAAATCCCGGGCCCCGCACCTCTGATATTTTCATGTGGGATCCATTTCCAACATGATTATTTACGGTGAAGGAAAACATCGTAAGAAAATCTGAATGTCTGAGAGAGCCTAGCAAGTTTTCGAAAGACATGTGAAGTCCGCCAACTCGCACTTGGAGGATGTAGTGGACAATGGCCTGATCGGATCGTATTTAAAGGAGGCCAGTGCCCAGCAGTGAGATGTTAAAAAAAGGGTTGAATGCAATACAATGGCTACGTGATTTAAACGGAAATGTTGTTAAATGCAAGTTTTATAAAATAAAATTATTACAATTTTATCATATGACCAGATTAAAATTAACATGTATAAGGGGTATAATATGCCTTTTAGGTATCTAAATGATTGTTACTAATCCCTTATTACTTCATTTCACGTCACGCGCTGAACAAATGCCGTAGACTAGATGGCCGGTTCCGGTATTCGGGATTGCCTTCCCGAGTACAAAACTCAATAGTGTTATTTATTGACTAATGATTAACTACAACGTAGGCGCGTCAACAGAGGCGACGATAGAGGAGGGTGCGGAGGGTGCGTCGGGGGGTGTGGGGGGCGTCGGGGGCGCGGGGGGTGTCGGAGACGTGGCGTCGGGCGCCGCGTCGCCGCCGCTCGTGCCGCAGCTGCCCACTACAGTGTTTGACGCCACGTTCAAACAAGAGCCTAATATGTAAGTTTTTTACATAACCTTTAATATAATATTTATTATTTACTATATATATTTTTTAAATCGAAAAATTTTTATAATTGCAAAGGTTTGTATGTGTTTGTATGTTTGTTCATTACTCCTTATGGCTAAACGACTGGACGGATTTGGATGAAATATATACAGTCCTTCAGTAATATATTGGCTACTTAGTCTTTGGGCATCTACTCACCTCGGGCGCACTCGAACTAAGCGCGGATAAAACGCTAGTAATCCTTTAAAAAATAAAGTAAAATATATATGTACAGTCATTCGATTTTGTAACATTGATGTTCAATTCCTATACTAAACAATAGTTTCTATTCGTTTTTTTTTTTGCTAAAGTCATTAACTGACACATATAACATGATAATAAATAAATATGGCGAGAAAAAACTAATCAATTCCAATAAAAAAATTACAACTTCATCTTACCATTAGAGTACCTGTTTAGTAACGCATATTTTTTTCAACTAGGAGTCCTGAACATCCGTCTCGAGTCATGAAGCCATCTGACATAACATTGTTATAGTAAAATTTAATTAAAGATATAATTTTAAATCCAAACTTTTTTGAAATTGAAACTTTTTTTTAAATACATTCAAGTCACATCGTGTATTATAGATATTGGATAATTTATTTGAAATTCTTATCGGTAATTGGCAAGAAATATTAATTTAGCAAAAATTAAGTCACAATAATTATTAAAAAAAGGTATTTAATTAATTTCGAACATATTTGAAATTTAGAATCTTTTTAATTCATTAAATTTTTAAATATACATCTCACAATAATAGTACCGTTATTTAATTGCAGGCAGCTGTGCTGAAGCCTTGCATACAAATTGTCTTGCATAAACAAATCATAGAATAAATCTTATTATTGTTAAAAATATATTTTCATATAAGGACTATAGATTTTTAAAATATTTTATATATCTTTTACACCTAATGTATATCGTAACAAAAAACCAAATTTACGATGTAAATTATATTTAGATTTAAGTGAGAAAGTAAGTGCAATTATTAAATATTATCTGTGGGCTGTGTGAGGTCGGTTTCGTTAACATTCTATATTTAAAATTATGACACTTATTATTATTATATTATTAAATAAATAATATTCTAAAGTTTGTTATATATTTACTACGTTATATATCCCTATTCTCGATTATCTAGATCAAGTCTGTTAATATGAAATGGGTACATTTATGGTTTCTTGCTCTCGAAACAATTATATTGCTGAACTCTTTGTACATAAAAGTATCCCTAGATCAGCTATACTCAACCTGCGGTCTGCGGGCCGCATGCGGCAGCATCAAAAATCGCATTATAACATATCTTTGTTAAAAAAGTAACTACATCGTTAACTTGCAATTACGTTTTTATTAAAATCTAAATAATTTTTGCTTGCGGCCCTCGACACCATGACTGAAACGTGTTTGTGGCTCCTATAAAAAAAAGGTTGAGTATGCTATATTGGGAACATAACATATATTATATACATATATAGTAGAAGCCCAAATTGAGGATTGGATATTTATAGTTACCATTAATATACAGGTGACGGTTATGAATTTGTTGTTATTAATTTTATACGATTCGCTGCTTGCCTTGAGAATGAATTGTTATACTATTTGTGTCTCATAAGTTAGACACAGATCGACTTTTTACCTACTAATACATGTAGTAGTCTGATAACGGCAGATGTGTTTATATTTAGTGGATATAGTATTAATATATTGTACTAGGGAGGGGCGATATTGTATAATAATGATTTTTTTATAATGATATTAAAATATCAGAAATATTTAAACTTTTATTTTTCTATGTATATAAATTTTTTATATACTTCTTATAAATACTCGCCCACTTCTGTTGGTACCACAGGTAATGCTCAATTTATTCTATATTGGAAAGGGTGGCATCACGTTAAGCCAAATGGTGAAAGTTGTTAGTTTGTAATGGGTTTGTCTGTAGACTTACTGTAATAGGTGCCTTATTTTCCTAGAGGTGTATTGTTATGTACATACCATGTTATGAAATGTTTTAGAATATATGTATTAGAAAATTAAATAATCTGTTACAAAAATGTGTTTTTATTTTACCGTTATAGTAAAATTATCAATATATGCCATTAAAAAGAATATAAAGCTATATGAAATTTACTCTACTATTAAATAACAATGAAGAACAAATATCTTTTCAATTATACGTCGAGTCTTAAAGAACTGGTTATTTATGACTGAAGTAAAAACCTTCAATGTTATGGCTTTTCCTTTACATCCATGTAACCGGTTCTCCGGTTGCCTCTATTCTTGCAGTACAGATACATCACGGATATCGCTGAGACTGCAGACATAACGAATAATGGCAAATATACAGGTAACATAATAACAAAAAAATTGAAATGATAATATAAAACAGTATCTTTTTGCTGTAGTACGCAATATAAATGATAATACGCGATAAAATATAGTACGCGAAATAAATATTACTAATTGGCAAATATGTATTAGTTGTCACTATGACATAAATATGAATTTAGCATTTTTAATTTTTATTAAAAATATGTCGATGATCAATTCGGCAAAAATTTTTTTCGTATGTTCCTTAAGGTGCACGGAAGGTTTTAATAGAGAAAAATAAAAAATTAACGAAAAAAATTTAATATATGGCTAACGCTGGCTAATAACTATTTATATCTATGTAAAACGTACCTAGCGACGAACCCGAGCGAAGCTAGATTTCGCTAGTTGCAAATAAAATTACCACGTATTTTTTTATATTAAAATGATTTTGATGTCATAAATAAAATACATATATCATGTAATTTTCTTTTAATATTAAAATAGTTGGGATTAGAAAAAAAGATGACTAATTTTTTTATTAAAAATAATTTTCTTACAGACTATACTAACATAGTACAAACTTAGTGTTACAACAAGATAATCAGTTATCACTTGACAAGTTTATAACTCGCCTTTTTATATTGCAAAAAATTTTGTTTCATAAAATTTCAATTGTATAAAGCATATATTTTCTTTGGCTAAGCGTAAACCGCTTTATTTAAATCCAATATTTTAATTACAAATGGGCAAAAGTATTTTTTTATTTTTGATATTTTAAAATAGACAAATAATAAATTTTACATAATTCTATACGTATCCTTAAAAATGCGAGCAAGGTAAAAGTAAATTAAAATATTTATGATAATAGTACGAGAAAATATTACAGTATGAATATCATGCAGTGTTGTTTTATACACAAAAACGATCCTTTACCTAAATTGGGTAAGTTAGTACATATCATTAAAACTCCATGATATTTTTGTGATAAACATTACTAAATTCGATTTACAACGTTTCTTTAAAAACAACAAAAAAAACGATGACACAGGAGTTAGATCACAATACGCACGAACGATTACTGAAAAGAAGTTTAACTATTCAAAAATAAATGTGTATACATGTAATAGATCTTATTTTTAAATAATTCGAAAAAAGAAAGCTTCGAAGCTGTGTATATTGTGTTATTTAAATTAACTAATAACTAAAATTCATGATATCAATGATTTAAACACCATATATCAGAGTTGCGAGATCCGAGATTTGAACTCGCTTCACTCGGTTTTCCAAGCGAGCGGGTTACCACTGCTTTCTTTGTTCGGCCAGGTACCAGTTGAACGGAGGCCCGTGCTTCCATATACACGTCAAATTTAAAAATATGCCATATGATATTCGGTTCTCCGATTATTTCTATCAAAGCAGAAGTATAAGTCGGAACTGTAAAATGAATCGAGCATCGGAAATCGTCTGCGTAACTCGCAGCCCCCCCTAGTCCCCGCCCCGCGCGGCCCCCGGCGCGGGCGCGCGCGCTCTCTGCCGGTCGGTGCGCACGCCGATGTAGCAGAACTCGGCGCGCAGCCCGCAGCTCTTCAGGTAGTGCATCCACTGCAGCTGCTTCAGCGACGGCTTGTCGCTGTCCGTCTTCACCTCTACGAAGGCTATCTGTTGATTATATTGTTTATTGGTTAGTTTTCCAAAAAAATATTTTTCATAGTTATTGGGAGTGTGCATACGATATTTATGTCAACGCAAATTAAACATTAGTGTTCGGTGTATTTTACTTTTCAAGTAAGCGTAAGTTTCTTTCAGATAAACTGAATTAGCTCCAGCAAATTGATGATTTATTGTCGATATACAAGAGAAAAACCATTGATAATTATTGAACCATAGATAAATAACACATCAAAACACTAAATCACCGTTTTTTTGAAAATACCCTACAAATTCTTGTTTTCTGCTTTAATTACAGTACAATCTTATCTATATGTATATATGTACAATATGAAAATAAAAAAAAAACGTGACGTCATACGTCACGACAAAGTCTATACTAGAAGTATATAGATCGAAATCTATATGTCATATATGGAACTATTGCAAAAACTTTTTCATCGCACACATAGTTACCTCCCCCGCGCGCACGTCCCACAGCGTGAGGTCGGGGAAGCCCGAGCAGGCGGCGGCGCGGGCGGCGCGCGCGCATAGCGCCGCCGCGCCCCGCGCGCCCAGCGCCGCGCTGGCGCCGCGGACGCTCTCCCAACACATGCGGCTTATGGGCGAGTGTTCATCTGCACATAGCCATCAAACATTACTACGTTATAATAAAGCTGTAGAGGTCGAATGTCTGTATATAAAATAAAATGTCCAAAAACCGAGTCAGGGGGACGTAAGAAGAGAAATAGAACAAACCCAGATTTTTTTGTTTCTCTGTTTGTCGGTTTGTCTGTTTGTACGGGCTAATCTCTGAAACTGTTGGACCTATTTAAATGAAATGTTGCACGGTGGTACCTTATATAGCCGGTCAACATTTTAGATACTTTTCATCGCGGAAAATTAGAGTTCCCGTGGGATGGTTAAAAAACTATAACAACTTATCCAGCTTAGTACACAACAACTTGTGTACCTAATTTAGTAAAATTTGGCATGCTGATACCTTATATTGTCGGTCAAACAATGTATATTATAAAATGTATAAATCCTATTAAAGTGACGGGTTCCTGCGAGAAAATAAAACATTACAAAAACAGTGAGCGTCTTTCATACTAAATCAATAATGTGTGTGACGGACGTCATTTTGACCTAAGGAAAAAACTACTTTTTATCCCGAAAAATGTACGGTTCCCGTGGGATAGGTTTGTTTTTGTTTTCCGCTAGTTGATATATAAAAACATAGGTACACATTTCCTAACAAATATCTCTTAAAAAGTAGCGTCGACATACGACATCGTTAAGTCGAACCAAACAATAAAATTCAAAAATCGAAAGTTCTAATTGTCTAAACACAAGTTCGAACTTACGCACACCACATAAAGTACTTCTTTAAACGAAACAACGTGCGTTTTAATTATGTCATCCGAAAAGCAATGAACAAAAGAGGTCTGAAAAAAGCGCACAATTTCGAATTATGCGCTTTTTTTGAGGACACTTTTGAGTTTTTAAGAGTATCTTGACTTTTTGTACTTATACCAATTGGTTGGTTATATACTCGCACATTTTACATCCATCCGATGCCGACCGGTCTAAACTCAAACTGGTTTAAAAATGTTTTTAAACTGCAAAGAAGTTGAGGCGTGATATAGAAATTGATTATTTTTTTTTTTTAAATAAAACTATCTTTTCGGATTTTGTCACGGGAGAGACCATGATTGCTGCAAAGCATTCGAAACGTCGGGAACCAAAAATTAAAATAAATTCGCGAAAAAATCCGAAAAGATAGTTTTATTTAAAATGTCAAGTATTCGCGTAAATCTAAGAAAGTACTAATTTTTTTTTTATTTAAAAAGAAGAGAAAACTTGAACCATGGAAATTGGAATTTGCGCTTGACAAGAGTCAAGCAATTTTTCACGTTCTTTACACGAGTATCTTAAAACTTACAATGATGCTATGACAAAATGACTATACTCACGCTCCGGTCTGCTGTCCCACACAAATTTCATCTCAGCCAACAGTTGTTCCACAGAGAAGCTCTCAATTTCCTTGAGTCTCGCTTCAATCAACGTCTTCCTGTTACTATAGAAGCTCTCAGTAAACATGTCCAGAGGGAACATTTGATAGTAAGACAGAAATATTCCGCTAACACCGCGTAATTTCGAGTAAATTATATCCCAAAAGAGAAGGAAAAAGATGGCTGTCACTATTTTACCTTCCCAGTGCTGCCCTGAAACATACATTTTTACTATTAAAATTTAATAAATATGTTTGTTAACTTCTTGCCATCTCAACCAACCATATTTGCATTTCTCACACACACGCTATAACTTCAGGGCTCGAAAACCCGTTTCATTTTTAAACCGGTTCTAGTCATTGACCCCAAACCCAAAGGCTTTTCGATTTAAGTTTTCGGTTACGTTCTTTAACCGGTTAAAACCGGATTTATCAGGGAGAATGGTTTTTGACATATTTAGGTTCATGATGAAAATTAACCGGTTAAAATGAGTTTTTGTGCGTTTACACACAGAGAAACAAAAAAATTGAAAAAGATCTGGATTTGTTCAATATCAAACGAGCGAAGCTGCTGGTATTTAGTAAAGTTATATTGGGCTTACCGTGAGTATAAAACCCCTGTTCGATATAATGTTGGATGCAGCATTCTTCCGCCTCACAAACACTTATACCTGTAGAAGTGTGCATCCTAAATAGCTTCTTCCCTTTTGTAGAACTCCTGAAAGTTATATTTTTAAAATGTTATATCTACCTAAATAAAAAAAATATCATAAAAAAAACATTTTTAAAAACAAACTTTTATGTGTTTGTCTTTCTTTTTTAGCGTATTAAAATAAAAGCTTGTTTTTAAAATGTTTTTTAACTATAAATTTATTTATATATTTTTTTCAGTTTCATGTCATGGTGTTTACTAGTATAGGTGCACTATTCAAATCAACTAAAGCATTATTAAATGGGTAAGCATCAGCCAAGCCACGATGGACTGGATTTAAAACGGACTATAAAATTGAATACGTATATGAAAAGTGTCTGAACTGTTAACTGCTGAGGAGTTGTTTCGTCTTGAGCCAATCCTAGACGGAGAATCAGGTCATAATTATAAAAAAAAAATCATTGTCATCGAACGTCGGAACTGACCCAAAATAAAAAAAAAATTACATTGTAAAGAGAAAGTACTTTTGGCACAAGTTTAGTATATGGGACGCGGCCCTTGGAGAAGTGAGTGTATTTTTGAATAGGGGAAGTGATAGGGAGTTCAAATATATAAAAAATATTTTGAGGAAACGAAGGAGTCAAACGTTATGGAGATTTAAACTTAGAACATTTCCATACATCGCGTCCTATATACTAAACTGCAGCCGTAGTTTTAATTCTATTTGCAATATTTGACCCATACAAACATACTCACAAACATTACAAGTGAGCTGCTGTTCGTTGTAAGCGCATCACATGAGAACGGCACAAGATTTAGCTAATATCTTTTTAAAATGTTTGTTATAGTTTGAATGAGGTGTTTAAGGAAAACAAATGAAAAGTTGCCCAGAAAACTATGAAATCTTGAGTAAAGGTAAAATTTATTTTCTATATTGGTGTTTGAATAAACTAAAAAATTGCAAACAAATTAATTGAAATTTAGACATGGCAACGTCTGCTGGCGAGTTAATAAGAGATAAAATTAAATAAAACTAAATATAAAAAAATATAACAATTCAAACACAGAAGGAATTATAACAATTACTCACTCCATAGGTTGTTTATAGATATGTTTTGCCTCGATATTTTTCTCCAATATATCCTCCTTATTAGCGAATTCTAATAACTGGGTCTTAGTCGGAGCACTTATTCCATTGGTCAGTCTCTTAGCTAGGACCAGGGCGCGTGGACGCAACACATCTTTATTTATTTCATTCATATTTGAGCGGAACCCTTCTAGGAAAAGTAATGCAGCCTGAAAAAGATACATATTATTTACATTGTACCTACACATTATAAAGAAATCACTAATTTAATTTTACAATCTATAGGTACTTTTTAACACATATACCTAACTAGCATTGTCCGCGGCTCCGCCCGCGTTCAGATGACCAAAAACCAAATTCTTAGGTTTTACATATTATGTAGTATACTCTTACAATGCAGTTTTTGTATTTTTTCTCAGAAATGAGATATTTTCCTGCGGTAAAAAGTATCCTATATGTTGACCCGGATATAATATATATACCGGATAGATAGCTATCATCATACCAAATTTCATCAAAATCTGTCCAGTGGTTTTCTCGTGATGCGGTAACAGACAGACAGATAAAAATTCTAAAAACTATAGATTCGAATTCTCTATCGATAATAATGTCTATTTCAATTAGATTTTCCTAAAAATATTTAATTCAGATAACGCGAGCGGAACCGCGGGCAATGCTAGTTTATAATAAATAGGATTATTCCCCTTGAATGAAAAACCCCCTTTTCGTTCAATTTAGTTAATTACGGAAATCCCATAATAAGATAAATTGGTGTAAATATTACACAAGTCATAATCATCCAGAATTTTTCGGATGTTTTGCCGCCTTATCAATTATACCTACAATATTAGATAATAATTGCACTTACAATATTTGCTTACTTTACCTTTGTAAAATATAATTAGTTACTAATGTAACTAATTATATTTTACAAAGGTAAAGTTAAATAATTGCAATAAAAAAAATATTAATCTAAACAAAATGGTAAACTTCAATCAAATCCTTATATTTATATTTTTATACATATTAAGTAGGTATTTCGATGAATTTTGTATCGATAAGATAACATGTTGTTTTTATTATAATTTCCGTTCAATATCAATATTTTTTAAATAAAAACTATTTGAAAAATCGTTCAAACCAACTTTATAAACATATATAAGAGCAGACTATCTTTTATCATTATCATATATGAACCCATCCACTAGGTCACGGTACAATACTACCAACATAAGGCGGATCGAGGCCAGTCTAAATTCGATTCAAAGTATGAACGCAGTATTGGCATATGTCATCTGCGCGACGTTTGTGTGCACACCGAGTGTGCCGGTCGCGATGGATACTGTACAGGACTTTTTAGAAGACCAAAGTTTAAATATGAAAGCGTTTTTCGAAGAACAAAAAAATAAAGTAGAAAAAGCTTTCAACTCTAGCTATCAAGAAGCAATTCGTATGAAAGATTCTGTGACTAATTACGTCGATGTGCAGCAGAAGAAAATAAGTACAGACATAACCAATTATGTTGAAAGTGTCAAGGAAAGTGGGAGGAAGGTCACAGATTCCTGGTCATACCTTCCGATAGAAGAACCTGGAGCCAAGATGGAGATTCCAGACATGTTTCTATCAGTACCCAGCATTATTACACGTAATGGGTACTATTGTGAAACGCATACAGTATTATCGCAAGGATACTTGCTGAACGTGCACAGAATCGCACGCTCGAGAAATTTTGGGGAAATACCGCAAAAAACTGTTTTACTACAACACGGTTTATTTGGTAGTTCAGCTGATTGGATTTTAAATGGCCCCGACAAAGGCTTGGGATACGTTTTAGCGGATGCCGGGTACGATGTGTGGATGTCAAATATTAGAGGTAATAGGTATTCTAAGGAGCATGTATCTTTAAAAACCGATTCGAAGTCATTCTGGAATTTCTCGTGGCACGACGTCGCGTTGCACGACATACCAGCGGTGATCGATCACATAATAAAAATAAAAGGTGAATGTAGTATCACTTATATCGGTCATTCTATGGGAACTACTATTTTGTTTGCCATGTTAACGTTACGACCTGAATACAACAATATATTGAAGGCAGGTTTCGCGTTAGCTCCTGTTGCCTTTTTAACGAACCTAAAATCGCCTTTGAAGTCATTAGCGCCAATAGCAAGTAATGTAGCGTATATGGAAATGCTGTACGGCTCCCATGAGTTTTTACCAAAGGATTCAATATTAGGCAGAATGACAAGTTCATGTAAAGTCGACAAAATGGATTCTGTTGTGTGCAAGAATGTGATATTTTATATATGTGGTTATAATGAAAAGCAATTTAATAAAGAACTTTTGCCTATATTTTTATCAAACCTCGGTACTGGAACTTCTTGGAAAACTGCCGTCCACTTCGCCCAAGAGATCGTCGCCGACGGAAAGTTTCAACAGTTCGATTACGGAACAAAAGACAACAAAAGGATTTATGGATCTGAAAAGCCCCCGGAGTATGATCTTACTAAAATAAGTATGCCTTTAAAGTTGTTTTGGGCCGAAAATGACTTGCTGTGCAGCGAAGAAGATGTGAAACTTCTATATGATAAGCTACCGTCTTCTAAGCAAATATATAAGGTCCCCGAGCCGACATTTAATCATTTGGATTATCTGTGGGCGATCGACGCACCGACTTTAATTAATCAAGAAATTCTTAATTCGTTAGAACAAGTTTATTCAACTTAATTCTACGTTAATGTGATCAATATGCAGTTAATTTAGTTTAGATTTTGCGAGAATACGATATTGTTTTGTATACTTATTTAACTTTAAACAACACAAAAATGTGCAACATTAATTATATAACAAAACCAATTTCTAACTCTTTTATATCAATGACGGTTCTATATAATTTTCTCACAAAGTACAAAATATTAATTTCAATCAAACAGATGTAATATCGATTATTAAAAAATATTAATTGATACTCTAGTATCCAGTTCTAACTTGTAGAGTTTTTTTCTGTTAATTAAAATATTAAATACAGTTATTAAACTACCTCAATAAATGATTGTATATATAAATTATGCAATATTTTATTTAATAAACATGCACATTGTACATCTAAAAGATAAATACATATAAATGTTGTATTGATCAAAAATGACGTTTTCCTATTGTTTTTATCAAAATTCGAGACGACTATAATGACACACATTACTCATTTGACAGAATTACAAAGTCATCATAATTATATGACTAATATATATAAATAAATATATAAATATGTTGGGACATTAACACACAGCACCAACTAGTTCCATGGTAAGCTACTAGGCTTGTGTTATGGATACCAGATAGTTGATACACTACACATATATAACTTTAAATACATACATATTATTAATATAAACAAACACCCATGACTGGAGTACAAACATTCGTGCTCATCACACAAATGAATGCCCCCAGCGGGACTCGAACCCGCGACCGCTGGCACAGCAAGTAGGGTCACTACACACGGAGCCAAACGTGTCGTCTCTATCTATATAAACAAAAATGAATCACCAAAATGTGTGTACGCGCATAACTTCCAATCGACCGCACCAAATTGGATAATTCTTTTTTTTTTGTGTTTGTTATTGTGAGGAAGTTTTGTATAGAAGAAAATTAAAAGAATTTTTTTTTTACTAATATAAGATTTTTTTAAATATCATGATATGAAAAGTGAGTGAGTGAAATAGTTTTTATCCCGGAAATCATTCTTAAGGGGGTGAGAATGGGGATGAAAGTTTGTATGGGGAACCAAGCTAGGGGACGAACCCGAGCGAAGCGAGGGTGAGTCGCTAGTATACATACCTATATATAAAATTGCTTGGTTTGGTAATTTATGCTGTGGCTTGCTAGTCGCTACGCAACTAACATCAAAATTTAAGGGTAAATCAAAAAATAAAATTGCAATTATAGTTTTACTAGCGACTTACTCTCGCTTCGTTCGGGTGCGTCCCTAGCTGCCTAACAGTATACAATATACATATCTATATAATGTAGTTTATCTATATAGTGTACTGAATTTCATCAAAGTCCAGACGTTTCTATGTGAAGGAGTCACAAACATAAAAACACATAAACATCATATAAACATCAAATAAAAAAATTTCCCTTCTAGTGTATGCAGAACATAAGAAATTATTTTGGTGTATTTAATTTATTTTCAACCGACTTCAAAAAGGAGGAGGTTCTCAATTCGACTGTATGTTTTTTTTTTTTTTTTATGTTTGTTACCTCAGAACTCCGTCATTTATTAACCGATTTGGACAACTTTTGTTTTGTTTGAAAGGGTATACTTCCAGATTGGTCCCATTTAAATTTCAAAAAAAAATACCACCCCTAAGGGTGGAAAAACAACTAATGATGAATTTAACCTACTTCTAATTGTCATATTGACTTGAAACTTTGCAAGTATTTCTATTTCCGTTGATAGTATAGTGGTCCGGTGTTGTTGACCTGATCTGATGGCAAGGCCAGAAGGTGGATAGGTGGAACTCTTCAACGGCTAATAGTAGATACTTTGAGTTTGGGCTTATTTTGTTTGATTTGACAAGCCTAACACGTTAGAATCCTTACTTTGCTACTACTGTCTACACTAAAAAGGGAAAAATAAAAACTTTTTAACAAAAAAATAAAAACCGACTTCAACCAAAAGGGAGCGTTCAAGTATTACGTAACGCAATTTGGGGGGGCGGGGGGGTCTCGTAAAACGTTACGATGCGTTACACGGGCGGGAGAGGGTCCATCTTACAACACGTTACGTAACATTATTTCTTTGGCAAGACTGTCCAAGACCATTGTGAAACTAGAGTACGGCCACAGCGCCTTGCTGCCAGAAGGGCAAATGAGCTTCTCTGCATTGTGCGTCGTTATGAAACATCGTCTGAGGATGCTGACTGGCTCGACGAAGACGAAGTTGATGCAAGTGGCTTAACAATTCCAGAACCGTCTTCGTCTGCACTCCAGGTGCCAGTGATGAAAGAATCTGAGTGGCTAGCAAACCCGTGGACAGAGGAGCAGTAATTTCAATCGAATTGTTTTTATAGACCTACTTAGATACTTGGTTAATAGTTGATTATTTTTTAATTTTGTTAAGAATACGATTTTATTTCGAGTAAAATGTTTAATTTCAGTTGGGTTTCTGTTTATAATTGCATTGCCAAAGGTTAAAATAAATATGTTATTTTATTTGAAGAATTTATTAGTAAAAAAGCTAAAATACTTAGGAGAATGAAGGAGAAAAACAATTGTGTTTTGTAAAGCCAAAAATTTATAAAAAAATAAACAAAATACGCAGGTGTTGCGAATTAAAAATCTCTTGTTTTATTATAAGGCAATTAAAACTATACGAAGGATAAAAACTATAACAACTTTTTGCGACTTCAGGGTAAAAATGATGACTTGAGTGTTACGTAACCTTTAGAGAGGGGGGTGGGGGGGTACAGAAAAACGTTACGGAGCGTTACAGTGGGGGGAGGGGGGGTCAAAAATCTTCAAAAATTGCGTTACGTAATACTTGAACGCTCCCAAAGCACTGAAAAGTAAAAAATAACTGATTGGTAGTTTTCATTTACTATACATACCTAATCAAATATTTTCGAAGTCGGTGTGCTTTGGCTAAGTAATTAAAGCCTACCTATTAAATACATACCTAATCAAATATTTTCGAAATCGGTGCCAGCCCATACAAAGCAAAGCACACCGACTTCGAAAATATTTGATTAGGTATGTATAGTAAATGAAAACTACCAATCAGTTATTTTTTACTTTTCAGTGCTTTTGGTTGAAGTCGGTTTTTATTTTTTTGTTAAAAAGTTTTTATTTTCTTCCAAAATCATAACATACATACACTAGCGACTCAAACCATCTTCTTACCAAATTTCATCTAAATCGATCCAGTAGTTTCGGAGCTTATTTGGTACAAACAAACAATCAAAAAATCTTGTCTCTTATTATTAGTATAGAAGATAATTGGCACTACTCCAAACCTATATTTTTAAAGCACCACAACAAACATAAATATAATTAAATATTTAAAACATCTATACTTATAAATAAAATTGAAAAATGCCTTTCTATGAGCTCATATAATTTTGCCCGACGCTAAAGTACCAAAAATCCATGAAAAAATTACACTTAAAACGAATCTACATACGTAGTCGTAAATTAGATATCGAGAGATTCATTTCAGCCGAATTTTCCGACACGGTATTTGAACGAGTAACATTTTATTGTTATTTTGACCGACAGCTAGAGGATAAGAGGTGATATTGATAAATTATTTATGAATCCCAACACGAAAGCGACGGTTTTCATAGTGATTTTTATTAACATACATTACCCATGGCAGGAATTGAACCAAATCCATTGTAAATAAAACATCTTTTCGGATTATTTCGCGGATTTATTTTGATTTTTGGTTCTAAGAAAGTATTATGTGAACCAAATACATTGTTAAAGAATATAATTCTAAAAAGCATATAGGAATAATATAACGACTATTTGTCATTTCAATACATTTTTTTTGTAAAATTAGGTGTTGGCACTGTAAAGACCATATAATATAATATATATTAATAAATCGATCGTATAATCTGTTGATGCATTCATTCTTAAAATCAGAACAAAGCAACAAACAAAAAATGTAACAAACACACGACTTTTGTTTCTGGGAATTGTTTTGTAAGCTTTATCACGGTAATGTTTATGCATAACATTACCGTGGCTTTATTATCGATGTAACAACAAATTTAATTTATAACAAATGACGCAAAAACTAAAATTGTAACCAGAATTTGATCATATATCAAACTGTTTGTTTGTAATGTCAAAATAACAGCTTTTTACTAAGACAATATGAAAAGAAAAAACAATTTTTAATTTTCTTGTCTGTCTGTTTGGTCCGGCTAATCTCCGAAACGGCAGAACCGATTTTGACGGGTCCATCACTGGCAGATAGTTGATGTTATAAGGAGTAAATTATATACAGTACTTATAAGAAAAACACAAGTTTTAAAATTTTTATCTGTTTGTTTGTTCCGGATAATCTCTGAAACGGCCGGACTGATTTTGACGGGACTTTCACTGGAAAACAGCTGATATTATAGGGAGTAACATAGGCTACTTTTATTTTAGAAAAATAATTAGGTTTCCGCTCTAAAAAATTAAAACGTACCCAGGGACGAACCCGAGCGAAGCGGGGGTGAGTCGCTAGTCTAATATATAAACATCCGTGTCACAGTGAAACGGTTCAACCGATTTTAATGTTTTTTTTTTGTATATTTAGTAGGTACAAGAATTGGTCGTAAAGTATTTTCATTCTCTTACTCATCGTCATTTTCTAGATTGAATGCGGGCGAAGCCGCGGGTTCTGCTAGTATATAATAAAATTTAATATAAGTACATACCTCCTCAGATTTACTCATCAATTTGTCCAAAATCAAGGCTTTCTCCGCGTACCAATGTGCCTTCTTGTGTTGTCGCCATAGATTTTGCGCTATGAGTGTTGAAAGAATATCCACAGCGAGAGTTATATTATCTGCTATTTTATCTTTCTTTAATTCTTTAATGCCTTCTTCAAGCACTTTAATGTATATGTACGGTGGTGTGAAGCGATGCAGCCATGGTGGGAGAAGAGTGTAGCTGTTAACAGGAATAGGTTTTTAAATTGGCATTTTAATAAATGGTATGTCTATTCGTTCGATAAAAAATTTATTATTCGTCTGGCTATTGTTGGTGTGTGATTTTTGTAAAAAACAATTCTAACTTATCAATTTAAATAGATTTTTAAAAATATCAATAGTTAAAATTTTAACTTTCGAATAAGATCGAATGGAAATATCTTTATCGTCCTTTAAGTAGTAAGTATTATCTTCTTTTTTTAATATGACGCAGTAATAATCTCTTAATAAAATCCATTTTTAGCTGCGTAGGCGCTTTTCTTTTTTTTACACATAAACACTCTTAAACTTAAAAATCTAAAAAAATAAGTTTTCAGGTCAGTAGGTTAGGGTATTTTTTGCATATAAAAACTCCTCCACCTAAAAATATCTTACTTTACATTTGAACAACAAAAAAACGGTAGATTCGTGAAAACCGACAATAGTCGGACGAATAATTATTTCCCATCCACTTATTGGCTAATTGCAACGGCCTTTAATAAAATAAATATTAATGGGAAATCATCAGTATTATCTATCTATACATATAATAAAATTGTAACTAAGCCGAATCTGTACATTAAATATTTTTTGGAAAACCTTAGTGAAATAGTCATTATTATCTATACAGAAGCCGAATCTATAGTTTTTAGAGTTTTTGTCTGTCTGTTTGTCTGTTACCGTATCACGGAAAACCCCTGGAGGGATTTTCATGAGACTTGGTATGTTGATAGCTGGTTATCCGGGTCAACATGTAGGATACTTTTTACCGCGGGAAAATATCTCATTTCTGAGAAAAAATGCAAAAACTGCAATGTAAGAGTATACTAAAGTATAATACCTAAGAATTTGGTTTTTGGTCATCTGAACGCGGGCGGAACCGCGGGCAAAGATAGTATTATATATAAGAAGTGTAAATAATAAAGTGTGAACACTATTTTAATATCTCTAACAATAAGTACAGAAAGTGAATACTAATATAATTTAAAATAAAATGTTGGGTAATTTAAAATAAATATGATGATACGCGCCTTATCTTTGTATGATTAGTGGTAGTTTTGCAATAGCTTCTAATTAAGTATAGAGAGATAATAAAGTAATGTAGCACAATGTTTATTTTTTTCATAAATATATAGAAAACAAATTTTAATTATTCACCTCATAATCTTCTTCTCATCTATAGCTTTATACAGATCAAAAACTTTCTTCACTGTTAAACACTTTGTGGTAACATTTGTTTCTTCTAAAAATTCTTCACGGATATCACGGGCATCTAAATAACTAAAAATATCAGAAATCTATATAGTATTATTAGAGATAAGAATTACAATTTCAAATATATATTTTATAATAAAATATATCTAAAATACTTTGATATTGCATATTTCAATAATTAATGTTGTATGTTTATAATATAAAGCATATTTTTTATTATAATTTGAGACTTTTTATGTTTAGAAATGAATAATTTGTATTCAAAATGTATGTATGTAGTGCACCATATGGAGTTCATAACCTTTAAAGTTAAGGTAATAAGATATGAATGCTACATAATAAAAATTATATAGCATTCTTATTATAAGGGCTGGCTTAAAATAACTGAGTTATTTGGAGTCAACTCTTCCATATCAAATGACATATAAAATCCATATGATATATAAAAACCATGCAATGGTTCTGTGCCGGAGTATATAACTCTTGAAATTTTGTGCATGTGCAGCTTTACTTGCAATAAGCTGACCCATCTGTCCATGGACTGTTTGTCAAACCACCATAACTAGCCGGGTGCATTCACACACACAGCATTTGAGTCACAAATCCATAGATCTTGATGTGTTCATTATAATAATCAATTGGAAATCCATGTACCTTTTAAATTCCTCTCTGTTCTTAAACACAACATTTGCATTATCTAATTCCATATTCTTATCAATTGGGTAGGTTTCTTTTACTGCTTTGTCATTTATAAGCATTAATTCTAAGCCTTTATCTCTCAATATATTTTCATTTATTCCTAAATACATAAGAATGTACAATTCCTTGAGAGTGTTGCGAGCTTCATCTGATAGTTTATAGCAAACACCAACTTTAGCACTTAATCTGAAAATCAAACATATTTTTAAAATGAGCACAGAAATGATAATAACATTAGCTACTTATTATGGAAAATTATTATTTTTTTAGACATAAATTCATTTTCCAATACTTATTATTTATAATATAAAAACTTTTTTGATATTAGCAATTGTTTTAAAAAAAATGTAATAACTTTTACAATAAAAATGTTGACTATGGCCAAACTATAGTTGATATATTATATATTTACATACATTTTAAGAAGCCTTGTTTCATTTGTACTTTTACCGCCAAGAAGGTAGTTAGTAATATTGGTCTTCTGTGACTGAAAACTCTTTAATGATTCTATAATTTCTTCTTTGGATCTATTATTTTTTATATTTAATTCCTTGCACACTGCCTTCAATTCATCTAATTTTAATATCTTCACTAATTCATCAAATTCTATGTCAAGTCTTTGATCTAAAAATAAAAATAAAATATGACAAGAAAAAAAAAGTAAATGACAATTGTTAAATTCATATCTAGTAATAAAATTGAGAAAACGTAGCATACATACTGCTATCATTACACATGGTTAGAAGATTATTTTCAGCAAGAGAGTTTAATACTTCATGTAGGGTATGATTATCCACCTTATTCTTCTCACTTAAGATCTTCATAATGCTTTCTAATCTTTGCCACCTATCCTGCCGCCAATTAAGTCTACAAACCAAATGCATTCCAGGTTTCTTCACTTTTAATGCATTTGCTAGTAGATTTACACTATTCTCTTCCAAAAGAGGCCTTAAAGTTTCATCATGTAAGAACTGATAAATTATCTTCAAAAGAAATATGGCTGGAAAATGAAAAATAAATACCTAGTTACTAAATATTTACTAGAATTTCAACTAAATATTCATGTTTGTTCATTCAACTTATAGAAACCGTTATTAATTATTTTTTATTATTATTCCTTAAACATAATTTTTACCTCAAAGAACATTTTTAACTTACTCTTATCATTGAGGCCCTCACAAATTTTTATAAAATCATCACTAACATAAATAGAAGTCTTACAATTTGATAATGTATGATTTAAATTTCTTTTAGCCTTAATGGGTGACTTAACTGCACAACTTCGTTTTCTTGTTGGTGAATAAAATTTATGTTTTGATGGAGTTCCAAAATTTGGTGAATCATGTGTTTGAACCATTGTTGGGCAAGATATTGGAGTTCTTTTTAAATTTTGTGACACAGAGGTAGATGTTTGTGGGGTTCTGGATTCTGGAAAATTTCGTTTTCTTGTTGGTGAATGAAATTTATGTTTCGATGGAGATCCAAAATTTGGTGAATCATGTGTTTGAACCATTGTTGGGCAAGACATTAAAGTTCTTTTTAAATTTTGTGACACAGACGTAGATTTTTGTGGGGTTCTGAGTTCTGGAGAATATATCACAGTGCTATCGGAAGAACTCGATGTGTCGTTTAAATCAACTACAGTTACTTCGTGTCTTTTGTCTTCAGGAGTTTTGGGAGATTTGGTTTGTGTTTTTCTTAAACTTAAATTGCGCTTCTTTATTGGGCTGTTCTCCATTTTTTTACCAGGGCGACTTTTTAACTTAAAAAAGTTTGTTATTGTAACCTGTTGCTTCATATTTAATGCTTTCAGTTTAAATACAATAAATAATAACCATGTCTTCAAATGAATAATGGATTTAACACTTGACAGAAATTTTTGTCATCCATGACATTATTGACAGAAATCAGAATGAATATTTCGGCGGGAAACATGGTGGCGGGAAATGAAATGAACAATGAGCATTGAGCATGTCAGTTGATCTTTATCATCCCTGTTTTCCAATTACAGAGCATAATACCGTAATTTTCAAGTACACCAGCAGAGGGCACTAGGTTCAGTGTTGAAAGAAAAAAATATAACTAAAACTAATTAAATAAAAAATATAAGTAAAGTTATATAGTATATATTGATTAGTTAATAGTTATGTATTATTATATATCTATACTGATATTATAAAGAGGTAATGTTTGTGAGTTTTTGACGTTGTAAAGGTAATCTCTGGATCTACTGAACCGATTAAGATGAAAGGTAAGAAGATAATTTGTGACACTGGGAAGGATATAGATTAGTTTTTATCCCAGAAATCATCCCTTAAGGGAGTAAAAATGGGAATGAAAGTTTGTATTAGAAAGCATAATATCAACGATATTTATTATATACATAATTTGATCTGTCAGGAACACAATTTCTTTTATGAGTTGAGTTATTTAGGGTAGAACTAAGGAAAACTATCTCTCGTATAAAAAATGACCGCTGACAAGCATTAAATTGGTGGCTCCACAGAAAACAAGTAGGTGAACTTAAAACATAACGCCAAAAGCCATATGAGTAAGATGGTGAATTAAACAAGGAAAGAAAGATTTCCGCTTTCTCGTGACGCACTTTTCAAAATAGTTCTAAAATAGGCAAACACCGATATATAATATAACTAGCATTGCCCGCGGCTCCGCCCGCGTTCAGATGACCAAAAACTAAATTCTTAGGTGTTACATATTAGTATACTCTTACATTGCAGTTTTTGTATTTTTCCTCAGAAATAAGATATTTTCCCGCGGTAAAAAGTATCCTAGGATCGCGCGCTACATCGCCCGGTTTATATAGCTTGAGCAGGCGGTCGAGCGATGCGGGGCAGAGGGGATGGACTCGCCGTAGGCATCTCAATGCTCGCCAAGCATTAAAAATGTTTCGCTACTAATTACTTCTAACAACGATATCTCAAAAACTATTCATCTGATTGATTTAGTGTAAAGAGCAATTTTAATCTGCATTAAATGACTAAGCTAACTAAAATATTCATTTGGATAAGGATTAATACCGAACTAAAGAAAATAACTTTGAAAATAACGTAATGTTTTTAATTAAAAATGTTAACATAAAAGTGGTTATTGTAAGTCAACCGTAAGAGATAGAGATATGCTATCGCGGACTTTTTTGTAGCATTTTTATAGATTTTGAATTCTCTAGTACATTACTTAACTGTATCTTTGCTAGTTTACGCGGCGTTCGCGTGGAAAGTTCCCATTTGGCGAGATTTTTTGCGACCTCTTCAACATTTGTCGCCGTATTTCAGCTAATTTACATAAAAGCATAATAAATTATATACCTAAACCTTCCTCAAGAATTACTCTTTCTATTGTTGAAAACCGTATAAAAATCCGTTCAGTAGTTTTCGAGTTTATCGCGTTCAGACAGACAGGAGGACAGACAGGAGGACAGACAGGAGGACAGAAAGACGCGGCCGGGGGACTTATTTTTATAATAAGTATAGATTACATATAATTTTCAAGTAACGATAATTCAGCACATTACATCTACTTGCTACGCTAGCGCTATATCGGTGAGTTTCTGAATTACAATTTGCTGCTCAACACTGGACACTTTTTTAACTTGTGTGGGGTCCCTAATAAATCTTAGAGATATTCCTTGCTTATATTCTTATATTCAGTACTTTTATAATCGTCAGTGAGTTACATAATTTATAATCGTAATTTTCAGTATTACAAACAATTCGTGCCTAGTCACTACATTGTGGTACCTACCGACATCTCTGTGCAAAAGCACGGGAAAACAAATGAATATGCGCGCCCTTTTTTTTTTTTTTAAAACACATTCCTATCGGCCAAGTTCAAATAAATGCCTTATACTTAAATCATTACAAATTAATCAAATATATTATTTCCTATTAAAACACACATAATAAGTAACGGTTGAGTAAAATCAATATTATAGCTCCACTTCCTCGCCTCCCTCGTGGGGTCACTACTATTTCAATATATGTATTTTTTTATGAACTTTAGAAATATATATTATAGAGTTTACTAGACATTAAGCATTTTATATATTTTACCAATTGTCACTACAATCTCGATGGCTATACTCACTGAATAACTGAATGACAATCTTATGTAAGATAATCATGTAATGAAAGTATCTACCTAGTCTAGGTAAGCTAGATGTAAATTATAATATATTTTCAAAATTATTTTACTAACAAATATGTCCAGAGAATATTATAAAAGATTATCATTACGCAAAATAAGTGGCTTCGGATTAAGTCGACGAAAGAGTTCTAAACCAAAATTGGTAATACTTTAAGTATGGTACTTTGTAGATACATATTTTTTTATCGGGATGCACCGTTTCATTGTGTAAAATGAATAAAATATATATTTTTATTTAGGTAATATTTTATAACTTATAATTTTAAATTGCCTACCTACCTACTAGTGCCGTAACTAGGGCGGTGCTGCAGGCACAGAGCGCAACATTTTGAGGGGCGCAGAAACGACTAGACCAGGACAAAGTTTTGGGTCATACATGGTAATTAGTACTATAAGTACATAGTGCAATTCATTCAATTTATTAATACCGGTGTAGACGAGCCTTAACAGTATTATTATGTTTTTTGCAAAGATATTTAAATAAACTTTTTTTACGTTATATATGTACACTTATTCCAAATTCAACCAAGTATCTATACATAAACCAAAATTAATTTTTTATTTTTTGGATAATAGATTTTTAATAGACAATGACCATTTTATTGTCAGAACCCGGAAAAATTAGAAAATTTTTCAATGGCGCCGTTAAAGAATAATAGAAGCTCGCACCTGGCATTTAAAAGGCTAGTTACGGCACTGGTACCTACACATAAGCATTAATGAAAATGATATAAGAATGCTTTAATATTAACATACTAGAGTATGGAATACGGATATTAAATTAGATACCAAATTATAGGTACAATATATATTACCATAATATAAAATTGTGGTGTAGGTAATAATAAAGATAGAGTTATTGACCAAACAAGATGTCTATAAGCAAACCAATTTCAAAACAGGTGCGGACTTACCAGCCCACGTATCAGTTAAATCCAAAGAAACGTTTTAACATAGAAATCGTAGAAAAAATACTCAAACGTATTGTAAGCTCAGAATTGGAAGAGGTCGAATATAGTGAGAAACAGATACCAGATCTTTGCCTAAGTTTGACAGAAAACATAAGAGCAGCAATAAAAGAAGAAAATTATGACAGGTATTTCAAAACGCCCAATAATTTTATTTAAACATCTATTATAATGCCAAATAGAGTAAAGTTTTTAATCAACTTTTAAAATGATAATGAATATTATCGCATAAAATCAATATGTACATCGTATTGCCAATGATAGCTGGCGTATCAATTTTGTCATATTTCTATTGCTTCATGATGTAGATGATTGTGCTATATTTATTTTTCATTCTTAATTTTTTAAGGGCGTTAAATAGTAAGGAATAAGGATCCTTATAATAAGCTAATAAAAATAATAAGAAAACAACAATAAATTAACGATGATTATATTTTCCATCTTCTAAACGCATAATCTTTAATGATAGAACTGTACTAATAATATTATAGATATTAATAATAATAATTATTATTATTATTGCAGGTACAGGATAATAGTAGCTGTAACAATCGGCCAGCGCCGACAGCAAAGTGTGCACATGTTTCATTCCTTCCTTTGGGACCACGAACGGGACGCTTTCGCTACATATAACTTTGAAAATTGTCACATATACGCCAATGCTGTTGTCTATGGAGTGTACTTTGATTAAAATTGTTAATTAGTATTACACTATTTATTTCTATTAATATCCTATTTTAAATAGATAAATCACTTTTTCATATTAATAAATAAATTATGTTAAATTTGTAAAAGCAGTGGTAGCCCAATGGTAACGCGCTTGGGAAACAGAATGAAGCGGATTCAAATTTCGGTGCTCGCACCTCTGATATTTTCATGCGCGAATCATTTCATCGTGATTACCTGCATGTCTGAGAAAAATCTAGCAAGTTTTCGAAAGACATGTGATGTCCGCCAACCGCACTTGGCCAGTGTGGTGGATTATGGCTTGATCCCCCTCGTCTTGAAGGGAGACCCGTGCCTAGTAGTGGAACATTAAGAAGGGCTGAATACGTTAAATTTATAATGATACTAGGGATTTCTCGTTTCGCTAAGGTGCGTCCTTACGTTGACGATGTAAGACGTTGGTACCTATATTATAGGGTCTCCCCTAGAATTACAGGTACTCGTACTAAAGTCCTAAATATATGAAAATAGTTATTGTGAGTGTATTTTAGGAGATCACACTTGCTGTCGCGAATTATTCTGCAGGCCTTTTTAAGGCCTACAATTTTTCAGTACATTGTTTTGATGAAAGGTGTACAAAATATTTACAAATTATATGCACAAACCTTCCCTGATTAAAGCTCATTCTGTTAGTGAAAACTTATCAGAGTCCTTTGCGTGAAAGAAGAAGTAAATGGAGGCACAGACAGGGACAGACAGCGACTTTTTTGAAGTGAAAACTTCTGTAAGCAGGTTTGGATGGGGAGTAAGTTCATGTAAATGTAAATTATAATTAAATATGTAAATTATAATTTATAACCCCTAATAAATCATAGAAAAGACAACTCGAACTTGCTGTTAGATCCAGGGCTAAAGGCTTTAATAATGGTAAAAAGTGAAAAAATAATAGTATGATGAAACCCATTGGAAAAGAAAGAGAATATAACAAAAATGAAAGGAAAAATAATTTACGGGCGATCTGAGGTCGAGAAGCGGAAGTGGGTGAGTTTTTAAGGGTAAAAATGGTTAATCTCGATTTCAGGCAAAACTACAAGTCCTATGGAAAAATCAAAAAAGTTAAATGGCAAGGTTGTATTACTTACAGCTTTTTTATTAAAAAAGATCTACAACTTTTGTATTTACACTTTTTTCACATTATCTCAAAATTTAAGTGAAAAATTCAATTAACCAAGTTTCTGGTTTTTTATTTTTATCTTATACGAAAAAGTCTTTCTTTTCACGAAATTTGGTAAAAACTTAGCTTTTTATGTCCCAAACATACTGTAATTTTTTTGATTTTAAATATTTATTATTTCACCTTATTTTGACTTAGATACTATCGAAAAAGCATCCTAATTTTCAATCGAAAATTCTCACGTCAAAATATGTTTTTTTTTTAAAAGTTGGTGGGCTTTTTGATCGTTGAAATCTCTACTTTCTTATGGTGTAAAATAAAATATACATTACTATGGTAAATTTTCTGAGAAAATGCAATTAATAAAGTTAATATTTAATAAGACATCTTCAATATTTTGAAAGTTGTAGAATCTTCTTCAAATTATATGCGTAGATGCCTGTTTACCTGTTTATACCTGAGTGATCTATGGATAATTTTAGCCCATCAAAAGGTATTTCATAAAGAAGTGGGGAAGGAGGTAGGAGGGTCTGGCCTATACTTTTTGCATTTTCTGAGTAAATTTAATTTAATTTTTAATTAGAAGTACAGAATTTCTTAGTTGCATCACTTTTTTAGTTTTTTACCTATATGTATGTATGTGTGTACTGTTATTACTGATCGTGATACAGATCACCATCATTATCTAGTAATTATTATTATTCTAGTATATTATGTAGTGATTACACTAATTCTGCCGTAATAAAAAAGAAGGCCGCAATTTTGTCGAAGTTGATTTCGAGATATTTGAAGTTTTGTCTTAGCTCGTAGTAGGTAGTAGTTTAGACGTAGTTACGATGAAAATGGTTATGGTATCTCCGGATTAAGAAGACTTAGAGCTTTATGAGTAAGACTATCAAGTAGCATTTTTTTCTGATTCCGAGTCTGCATTTAAGTCATTTTTGACCAAATTGTTAGTTAGGGCCTTCTTTATTATGACGGCAGAATTTTTAACGCACGTAATCTTAGAACTTATTTGCACTTTTCTTTGTTTTTCTTAACTAAGGGACAAATGAAATAAAAAAAACACTATTAAGCATTTTTACAGATCATACATATTATTTATTTATCCATTTCATAGTATAGATATCACACTGGCCCGCCCTTACAAAAATAAATGTGTAATACGTTAACGACTACTCTGACGTAGCTGTGGCGGTCGCGCAGGCTCCGCCGCTACGGGCGCCTCCGCTATAAATATTGGCATCAATTCCATACTAACCTACAACAATTTGGACACAATCTCGAGCGGCGCGACCGCCCCAGCCCACGCCATCGCCATTCAATTTTGTCAGATATCTTTATTAAGAGAATTCAGATAAATCTAAACCATTATACAGGTCGATATACAAGAAGAATTTAATCAATAATAATATATGTTAACATTAAGAAATTCGCACAAATTTGACACAAAGCGACGAAGAATACGGGTAAGAGGACTAAGTGAAATAGCTTTAAGATATTGGTCCGAGACGATGAAGCGAGTCGTATCCGCGCACAAAGCGACACTAGCACCAAGCCACCGTACAATAAGCGACATGTTGCAACTACCTATTACCGGTATCGGTTAACGTAAAAAAGCTACTCTTCTTCCCATTCGAGTCGGACTCCCTGAGGTCCTCCTGTAGTTCACACTTCACAACCAACTGTGCCGCGGCAGGCCGGCGCGGGCCGGACCGAGCGACTAAGGACAATCGGACACTAGATACGCGCTCACGCAAATTATGCTCGTGCAAAAATGTTCGAAAAGGGTAAAAATTTATAAAAATTCTACGAGTCTGTCTGTTTGGTTTGGAATCGAACATAGATTGCGTCAACGCTGGCAGGTAGTATTGAGCAGTATAGAGTAAGTTTGGAGTATAGGTTCACTTTATTCCGGAACATCCGGACTACCTCAGCCTTTCAGATATAAATGTTACACGCGCTTGATATGTTATACAGATAAAACGTTATAGTACTGGGTACATACACCTATAGGTTATAACCATACTGTACATTATATGGCGGTTTTTTTTAACTTACAACCTTACGAAAATCAAAAGTACTTTAAATATATGCTAGGTATAAAAAAAATGCAGTGAATATTGTTATCAAAACATTACTCCTAATATACATTGTGTTTAAGTGTATTTATGTTTAGATATGTGATATTTGTGTGTAAAGATACATAAAAGCTTTATATTTATAAGAGATCTCATCGTCGACATTTGGTTTACAAAAATATGACTTATATCATAGATGTCTCGAATGAAGTTTGGATCTGAAAGATTACTGACAGTTACAAACATTTATACAAATACTACATATTTGGTTAGGGTCGTAGGGGAGCAACGGTTGTCCGAGCTCTGTATAAACTTGGGCATTGCCAGACAATGACCGGTGCTATTTAAGTGATTGATTTTTCTTAACTAGAAAATAATTTACAAAACTTCTAAGTATAAAAAATATAATTATAAAACACTCAATCGTATTATAAGCCAAAATTAAAAAATAATGTCATGTATAGGCAGCATAAAAATACCGCAAAACATCTAGCATACCTAGTACAAAATATCACACGCAAGGTTTCATTCGTTTGCAGTTCCGAGGAGCGGCGAGCGAGTGAGGCGACCCGGCGCGAGGGCGGGGGTGGGTCTCCAGGGGCCAAATTTTAAACATTTACTAATAAAATATTAAAGCTTAACATACATAAAGATTAAGCATCTCTGCACCTTAGATATACAATAGCCATTCAAAATAACTGCAGACTAAAATATCTTATCCTAAAAATAAAATCTTAAACATTAAACTATAAGACTCGACAGTTCGGAAACTAGCTTAGGCCAGATTCAAAATAAAAAAAAATGATTTGTGTTGAACTCAAATTCGCTGTTCGAAAATGGAATCGATTATGATTCTAAATTTGAAATGTAATATATAATGTGATGATGTTGTAAACTTAATAGAAGTTGTACGAGAATGTCCGAACCGATACTCGCGTGACGCAGCGCTGGAAACAATAAGAAGGGAAGAGCTCGGACAGTGCCGTACTCAGACTTATAACGCAAACAAGAGGCCGGTGTAAGCACAAGCCGGACGAACGAGCAGCTTCAACTTTAAAATAATCAATTGGCGGTGGTTTGTCTGGTCCTGTCCTCGGGCGAAACAATTCAGCTAGACTCCTTCTCCTTCTCTTTCTCCTTCGACTCTGAAATTTTATGATATAATTTTTTTTTAATAAATTGCCTCGAATTCGTAATTATAATTTTCTTAATTTATTTCTGCAAATAAATACTATGTATAGTAAAAATAAAGAGCTATTTTATAATAAAAGATTATTCATATGTATATCATTATTTATATAAATATGCGCAGAGCTTAGCATAGTTTAATTTTATGAAATAGGTTTTCTTTAACGAGACATGTGAAGTCCTTATTTACCTAATTATTTTGTACTTCTGATGAATTGTTTTTTCCTAAAGCTGGCCCGTTTAAAAAATAATGTATTTTGAATCAATATTAATATCTAACTGCCTACAAGGCCTCTGCAGTGCGTGCATCGTCTCGATATCTTATGACCAAGCTGGCTAAACGCACATTTAGTCAGCCTCTAGATCACTGTAATGTAATGAAATATTTATTGATGAATTACTTGAATCATTCTAGATTGTTACTTTGAAGATAGAAAAGTTGTTTATAAAACCATTTAAATTTATTTTATTACATGAATATACAGATAACATATTTATATATTTTTTAGATATTAAAGTGTATTTTACAATGCTATAATTTATATTTTAATTGAAGTTTAAAAATTTCGATAAAAATTAAAAAAAATTGTTTCAAATCAGAAGTTCTTTTTTAAATTAAAAGCAGTAGAAGCATTGATGACTAAAGCGTATGGGTACTTCACATTTACTCAGCTTTTTCAAATATTTAAAGTTCCACGAACAAATAAAATATGTTACTATGTGATAAAAAAAACGTTTTTAAACTCTCATATTATAAAAAGGTACTGGTACTTATGACTTGTTTGATAAATAATTAATATATAAAATATTAATTATTTAATACATTTTATTATGATCATATAATAAACACATATAGGTATTTGAGTAAATTATATATAAAACAGCATCAAGCACCCCATTACATAAGCGATCTAAAGGCTGCCGTATCGAATGACATCAGGTTTCAGAAGCCGCTCATGTGCGTTTAGCCTGTGCGTAAATAAGCCAAAATAAAATTTGGAGACCTCGCCATTTTTGGCAACTTGCAAAGCGACTACCTTCCGAGCATTTATTTATACATAATATAATTGTTTTAAATCCAAAGAATTGTCTATGTGTGCTAGTGTTTTTGAATATATATTTATTTATACTTAAATAATACAAGTTCTTCTTATGATTGTATGTGTTCTAATGAAAAAAATCAAAAGCATGTAATTTTATCTAAATGTAATATGTAAATGTAACGTACGCAGTTCTTAATGTAAATAATGCATTGTAAAGCGGCTATTGCTTAGCCAAAGCTCAAACCTGAGTCGCCCGAGGTCTATATTATCTAAGTTACGCATGCCCGGTCACAGATCGAGACTGACCTTCGTCGCTACCGTTAGTGACCTCCTCACCATTCTTGTCGCCGTTCTCTGTCTTCTTCTCTTCTTCTTTGGGCTCCTTATCCTTTTTCTCTTCAGAACTCTCCTTGGCAGGTTTCTTCTCTTTGCCAGATTTGCCTTTGGCAGGAGTCGCTGGTTTCGGTTTTGGCTCCAGTGACGGATCCAGTACTAGCTTGCCAATATTCTTGCGATCATGCATCTTTTGCATAGCTTCACCAACCTATTAGAGAAGTAAATTATTAAATTAAAAGTAATTAAAACAAAAAACAACAGTGACAAAATTGACTTCTGCAATGACTCTTGAAAGGTCATTTTACTTATTAGTACAGCACTGGGCATATTGATATTTATTTAATATTAATAATGTTATCGTAATCTATGGCGTCCATATGTACATTACCTGCGCTAACGACCTCAAAGAATGTATGTTTTAATGTATGTAACGTAATATATGTTGTTATATTACGTTATCATTGGCAATATTATCCAAATTTCCCAACCTTCAGAGTGCAACAATAATTTTAATAACAATTTAGAAACTATCATACGTAACATAGCACATACATTCATCTAAACCAACAACGCATACTCACATCTTCCAAAGCCCAAGTGCTGTCCACCAGCGGCTTGACCTTGCCCTCCGCCCAGAGCGAGAACACGCGGTCGACGGCGCGGCGCACCGTGTCACCGCGCCCGTGCTGGAACAGCAGGTGCCGGAGGTTGAGGCCGGCCAGGCTCTTGTTCTCGTCGAACAGCTTGATTGGCGACACTTTGTCTACTTGCCACCACTGGGGATTGGAATATAGAAAAACAGGTGATAAAATAGGCAATTTGTGACGACACGTAGGTATGGCTCAGTTTTTAGTAACCCTACTTGCTATGCCAGCGGTCGCGGGTTCGAGTCCCGCTGGGGGCATTCATTTGTGTGATGGGCACGAATGATAGTACTCCAGTCATAGGTATATGTGTAGTGTATCAACTATCTGGTATCCATAAGTCAAGCCTCGTAGCTTACCATGGAACTAGATAGTTCTGTGTGTTAATGTCTCTATATATTATTATATTAATTGTAGGCGGACAGTTGTTCCTGGTACTTCTCTGATAACAGATTGGACCGTGAGAGCAACCCCTTGGTTGTTGCGATCTGCTTCGGTAAGCAGCCCTCGGGTCGTCGTGGTTGAGTGCGTAAGTGACCCTGCGGCGTTCTATTATCACAGGGGAGGTTCCGTTGGGTTTTAGTGGGTAGTCTTATTTAGCCGGTGAGTTTGTTCCTCCTTTACGCTATAACGACTGAACGGATTTGGATGTTTATTAGATACACAGATAGACCATGACCTGGAGTAACACATAGACTACTGTTAGGCAGCGATGCATCGGAGCTAGTACTAATAAGTAGTACTAAAATATGTATGTACATTGTACATATATATGTGTAATAGATTTTGAGGAATGGACTAAAAGTTCGTAACTATTATATAACTAAATAACGCAGCCGTTAAGTAAGTAGCAGTTTTTTCTTATTTTTTAAAATCTAAACTTCATTATACCTATTGAAAAAAAAACATAATATTATATTAAATTATCTTCTATATAAATAAATATGAATGTTTGCAAGCGCATAACTCAAGAATGGCTGGACCAATTCGGCAAAATTTTTCGTATGTTCCTTAAGGTCCACGGAAGGTTTTAATAAAGAGAGAAATAGAAAAATTTACAAAAAAAAACGATTAAAATTTATATGGCTAACGCTGGGTAATAACTTTTTATATCTATTTAAAACGTACCTAGCGACGTACCCGAGCGAAGCGAGGGTGAGCCGCTAGTTTATACAAAAAAATCCGTAAAACGGAATTACTATATGATTTACGTTTATTGGATGATTGAATTAATAACAGCATTATACATATACTTAAAACAAATACAACAATCATATTAAATCAATTAATCGAAGCATAAAATCTTATAGTCTTCATCCGTTTAATTCTGACCGTGTCCATAACTTTACGTTCAATCTAAGACTTAAGATGTTTGAATGAGATAATTAAAACATTTAATACTCACGGCACGCGCTGCGCTGAAGAAACTCTTGGTTTCGCCGGTCACGATGTTAGATGATCCTGCGATAAATGTCATTGTTAGTGCTAAGTACATTCAACTTTAGTAACATTACTTATATGATGGACTACTAAACTATTTTTAAGCCTATCATACCATACATTTCTAGTAATATTCTATAGATATAAATCTATTTTAATATAAAAGCCAACATAGTTTAGGAGATATCACAAAATTCTCTTAAGTCGTATAAATAAAAAAAGTACCAAACAAAATGGAGAACATGTTGAAAGCGAACCCTGCCCTAATGCATCAAGTGATCGTCAATTTTTATTTTAGTCACTTTACGATGGAATAAATTTAAATACCCCTTGTGCTAGCGGCGATGGCATATCTGTTTCAATCTGACCCAAATCGGTGTTGTTCTAACTACCTACGATCAGTTTTACAGGCAACAACACACATAGACCGAAGTCGTAAAAAAAAATTATTACTCCTTAAAACTCAGAACGACGTAATGCTATAAAAATACAAGATATTGAAAATAAATTTCAAAGAGCGTTCTCACCATATAGGATATATCGTCCCATTGGCTTGAGTAGGGAGTATCCTCGATTACACTCTTCGCCACACAGACAATCCAGCACGATGTCGACACCATCAGGGGTTATCCTAAAGAAATGTTATTTAAGAAATTATGTTAATTGAAATATCACATTGTTCTGGTCATATATAGCTCTTTAGGTACTAACAATTTTTATCCTGTCTTATATTATGTACTTTTATTTTGTTGAAGTTGATCGTTTACTAAGTAGAAGTGTTGTTATTACGTAGCGTAAAACAACTCTTTATTTCAAACAAAATCAAAACTATATTTCTATTAAAAGACATTACATAAAAGAAATTAGAATTACTATTCATATTTCAAAGTAGATCTAGGAACGATCTAAACAAGGGCGGTCCCAAGTCGATGATGTAAATCTCAATGCGAATGCATTAATATGTAAGCAGTTCCGATGTTATTTATACGAGTAAATTCCTTTAACAACCACTTTGTATTCATAACGTGCAGTTGTCAATAGAATATCGACGTCTGGAGTTTTTAATGCTATAAAATATAATATTAGAAGAACAATTTATGATAAATGGACGCGTTCCATCAACTGGGTCTGCGGCCTCACCTATAGTCGAGGGTAGCTTGAACTGCTATGTTTGTTTACGTTAGGTCTGTGTTACCCGATTTGTTTACACGAAGAGCTTACTAGTATAAAAATATCTTTCGTCTATTTACAAGAATTAAATGCGGCGCGGCTGTTACGAAACAGCTGCCTAAGGAGCGAGTTATAAACAGAACAATTAGCGTACTGTTCCTGATGTAATTGGACCTTGACTTTACTAGTTGAATCTTCCCATACACTACTTAATAGGGCTGTCGATTCATTTAACTTTAGAAAAGAAAGTGATTTTATTTAATACTTCGGAGTCAGGCATTATATTATTGAAAATTAGAGCAATATAATATTTTAAATAAAACTATCTTTTCGGATTTTTTCGCGGATTTATTTAGATTTTTAGTTCCCGACGTTTCGAATGCTTTACAGCATTCATGGTCACGGGAGAGACTGAGGTGTTAGATGTCAATATAATAGATATATGTACCTACATATTTTGTGTTCATCTAAAGTATTGATGAAATAAAATGTTTTAATAAAAATGTCTAAAACAATCTTCAAATATTTTAATGAAATATTTTTCTTTAAATGATCGCCTTTTTTAATAGAGCAACCCTGGTAGTCAAAACTATGAAGCAAAAAAGCCCATCCATGGTAGGTGCACTACACATATAAAATAGAGTTGTTCGAGACACTCCAGTGTGAGCGATATGGGTGGGACAGAAATATGTGACGCTAATAACTATCAATTAAGAAAGCTTGGGATCTGGAGCAATTAGTTGATTACACTGAGGAATGTCTGTCTGTCTGTCTCTACATCCCATACGAAATGTAAAGAAGTGATTTTAAAATTATGATCTCTTTTCGCAAATAAATGAACGGATATTTGATTTGAAAATAATAATATTCTATAAAAACGATCGTTTAGCTCATTTTATTGTCTCGGCAGTCGCCTTTAACATATGTTAAATGTCTTTCAACTTGCCCACGCTCGATTAAACTGCTATAAAGATTTAATAGGCGCAATAAACATTATTATGACCATCGTTCAATTTGTTATCCCACAAATTTTAATTTACAATGAGAGGACATCAATTGCTAGTATTGAATAGAAATATTAAATTACTATTTTTTTCTATAACAATACTATATGAAAATGCCGATTCCGTGTAAGGGACGTTCAAAAAATACGTTCGCACATAGGGGGGGTAAAAAGGTAAAATTTTACGTGACGTATTTCATAACGACCCCTAAATTAGAAGGTATATAAGCATCTACTTATTTAAATGTAAGTATTAAATTAATAATAAATAAATATGATGGGACATTAACACACAACACCGTCTAGTTCCATGGTAAGCTACGAGGCTTGTGTTATGGATACCAGATAGTTGATACGCTACACATAAATAAACTTTAAATACATACATATTATAAATATAAACACCCATGACTGGAGTACAAACATTCGTGCTCATCACACAATGAATGCCCCCAGCGGGACTCGAACCCGCGACCGCTGGCACAGCAAGTAGGGTCACTACAAACTGAGCCAAACGTGTCGTCAGATTAAATGAAAGAATACTTATTAGAATATAAGTGTCAGCTCGAGTAAGTATGTCGACCAAGAAGGAATTAAAATTAGATATGATTTCACGAAAGCACATTACATTTTTTGGATGCATGATTCATATTAAGAATTTCAAAATAAAAGAATCACAATTTATGAAAGCTCTCACAATTTATACTTGAAATGACAAAATGTGATTAATAACTACACAATTCATATATGAATTTCATCCAGCAAAGTAATTTTGGTGAGGACGCAGGCGTGCTGACAAGAAATACGACATGAACGGTGTTTTTGTACGTCGTCTTCAAAGCATAAAAACTACAATGGGCGCGGCTTATTTTTTTCTGTAATAAACCGAAGTTTCTGCCTGTGGCAGCTTTGTGACATGATTCTTCTGTTTTGTGTAAGTTTTTTCTATTTTGTATTTTAAAACTTTACTTATGAATTCACATCTCACGTGTAGGATGTTGCATTCTCAAAATTGGAGACGTCATATTACATATATACTAGACTTTACTAAAAATATTGTATATTTCAATAAAATTACATTTAAAATAATATAAATATAGTGACACACTTACTTCCTGACTTCGCTGGTGTAGTCACTGCCCCTCTCAAGGAGATGATCGATGTTGTTATTGTTAGCTTTCAAAGCTTCATGCTTGGACTTGGAGCAAACGCCGAACACTGTCACGCCATCAACGGTTTTCGCTAACTGAGCTACAGCTTGGCCCTAAAAATAAATAACTACTTTAAAAATTGTCGATATTTAGCCTCAACAATTAGTGACGCTAGGTAAAAAAAACTAATAACTCTAATATATTTTGCTTGAAATTTTAATTATAGAGTAATAAATTAAAAACGACTGAAAGCATAACTATCAAAACAATTAAATATAATATTAAAGAAATCTCGTTAGCACGCAAAATCTTGGCCAGTGCAATATTCTATTTCAAAATATATATATATATTTATATATATATATATATATATATATATATATATATATATATATATATAATTATCATTGCATAATATTTTGTAGAGTTCATGAAATATTCACATTTTCGCTCGCTTCCTCTGTAAACCCTTTTTTAAATAGGTCAACGTGGTATACTTATACTACTTTTTTTTACAGAAATGAAAAAGTGTACACTGATTAATGGATGAATTACTTTGAATAAGATTTTAAGGAACGTATGAATGCAAAGTGTTCGACTTATAGCTGGAACTCTGCGTAATGAGATCCAGTTTCGTCTTTAAAATAAAAATATAGAATTTTACATTTTAATTAAGTAATGTTGTGATTGACATTATACCTGTATTTATTATATCTATACATGTAATAAAATCGTACTAAGCCGAATCTGTACATTAAATATTTTTTTGAAAATCTTATTGAAACAGACATTATTATCGATACAGAGCCCGAATCTATAGTTTTTAGAATTTTTGTCTGTCTGTCTGTCTGTTACCGCGTCACAGAAAAACCACTGGAGGCATTTTGATGAAATTTAGTATGGTGATACCTGGTTATCCGGGTCAACATATAGGATACTTTTTACCGCAGGAAAATATCTCATTTCTGAGAAAAAATGCAAAAACTGCAATGTAAGAGTATACTAATATGTAAAACCTAAGAATTTGGTTTTTGGGCAACTGAACGCGGGCGGAGCCGCGGGCAATGCTAGTAATATCATGTAAAAAAAAAGAGTTCCTATAGCACTAGATAATTTAATTACCACTTCAAATTACAGGCCATTGACTCCGAGGGTAATGAATGACGTAAGGTCGGAAGCTCGAGCATTCCAGAGCACACTAGGATTTTTCTCACCCAATTCAATGCAATTAGACAGACAGCTTACATTGTTCGCGCTCGGGTGGTGAGCACTGAGCACATTCTCACACACACAGTACACTTGCAGTGTTCGCCGATACGTAGATATTAAACAGCACTTGTCAGGGTCAATGCTACGGTATTACTTTTAGCGAACTTCATTTATTTGCGCATGTCAGATCCAAAATGATTTTTATTTTTCACTTATTTAATAAAGTATGAAGAATTCCGACCAAGTACATATCACTCTGTTTGTTATCGCTCGCTGGTTTGTATTTTTGCGTTTTTATTAAGTAGGTATTTTATTGCAACCTATAAACTCAGAAAGCTTTCCTCTTTTTCAAAATCATAATATTTTTTATAGGAGCTCTACTACTGTAACTATTGTTCATGAACGAATTAGAGACTGGACCTGACATAAAATACAAATGTATGAAAACTAGTTCAACCAAGTGACGCATAACGCACACAAAGATTTTATTACATTATTATAAACACTGATACACAATACAATATTTCTAGTGCTTGAACGTAATCGATAAAATACATATATCGATGAACCAATGAATGACATTTTAGACATTGGTTAGCATAGTCATCATATTTTACATCTTTTAATTTATTCTTCTTCTTTTAATTTTAATAAATTAAAATAAATGAATTAAAGAGGCAATAATAATGTGTCAAATAATAATTATTTTTTAATTTGATTTATATAAATACGATGGCATTGATGGCAACATTCTGTTGGCCCATAATAATGTTAATGAACAAATGAATATCGGGTATATATTCCATTAATATATAATAAATATTATTTTGTAAACATTAAAAAAAATATTAGGCTAATTTAATTAAATAAAGTGATTTTGTTGATTCTGTTATTGAACTATTTTAATTGGCAATTAATTGATTGTCTCGGGTAGTTATAAAAATGTGACACTGTCCTACTATTGCTCAGTTCTTAATAAACATTTGTGAAATTAGGAAAAAGAAAAAGAGATTGCAAATTAAAGTGAGTGTTGGATCGTGAAAGTAAAATAATTAGTGCAAGTGGTAAAGTGTTTTATTACAAATCGCCAACCCAGAAGTTTAGTGCTAAAACATTATTGTTTGATTTTGTGTAATTTATGTGTTGAAACAAAATGATCTTTATTATTATTACAATGGAATAATATTCCAAAGTATGTAAATGTGGAATAAAATAAAATAAAAAATTAAGTACACATACTAATTATAATTTTGGCATTTATATTTTTATTTGATTTAGAAAATATTTTTATAAATTTATTGTCATCAGATTGTAGGATACTGTGGTAAAAGTATTTTATGTTATTGTACTGTACAAATAACACAATTCGTTTAGTAATTTCGTCAAATATCGATATACAATGTCGAAAAGACATTGTCAAGCACTAGTCGATGTCAAATGGACTCACTCGACAGTTTAGTCATTTGTTCTGAATGGTATAATCCAGGGATTTTATGATGGTTGTCAGATGTCAACAATACATAGAAATATCGACTATATTTAACGTAGTTGGATAATATGACATTTTATTTTACATTTAATTAAATTGTGTGATAAATAACAATAAATGTAATAAAATAATGTATTTACAAGTGAAAAGAAATACTGCTGCTTCCGCCGTTATAGTTTTTACATCATTTAACAGAACATTTAGTAATTTTTGGGAGATGTTTTGTTGACAAATAAGTGCTTGAGACTGACGCAAAAAACAAACGACCAAGCCTAAAATCTCCTGGTTACTGAGAAGACCGATAAAGGTACGTCCGCTTATATGTCTATTCCAGTGGTTAATTCGTTCATGCTATTGTTATATGAAAAAAAACGTGTGTGTGTACTTATGTACGCACGTAAGAAGTTATACTTCTTTGGCGTAATAGAACAAAAATAGCAAAAGATTTCATCCCGTATGTCACAACTCTCTGTTTGTAAAAGGAATGCAGCTAACTTCATCATGTCGCTTTTTGGCTATCGGTGTGCGCGCGCACCGTAAAAATACTCTCATATTTTTTCCAAACGATTTTTCAATAAAATAGTTTACATTATAGTAAAATACAAACGCACAAAGAAGAAAATGTATGGTTATTTCTATAAACGCAAAATAATGACAGATTACATCGCGGTTCGGCGAATCGTGCTTCAAAGGTTTCATTCGTATTTTGCAATCCTATCTAGTTGGTGTAATTGAAACTTAAGTAATAGCAGTAAGCCGTCCGTCCGTCCCGGCCTCATACAATTGCAATACGCTACGGGCTTCCAGAGTAAAAAAAAACTATTTCCGGTTAACCTCGCTTTGACATTCTAAAAATACAAATATATTTAAATTTAGTATTATAAATAAAAATATTAAGAGAAAATAAACGATACATAAGTATGAAGAATGTTTCGGAACTCATAACGTATGCTTTGTTTCATTTAAGAAATAGACACTAACAAGGTTCTAATCTCATCTGTCTAATTATCTCGTGGCCCGAACGAGTTGTTCAAGTTTAACTTGCATTATTAGACCGGTTTTAATCTATTTTTTGCGTTAAAATGCCCACACACCCATAAAAATCTTGAGGACGCGGCCGGATCAAATCCTACTAATATTTTTATTTTTTAATGTAAAAATGTGAGGATGGATGGATGGATGAATGTTTGTTACTCTTTCACGCCAGAACGGCTGAACGGATCTGGATGAAATTTGGCACAGAGATAGATTTTAGTCTGGAATAGCACATAGGTTACTTTTTATCCCTTTTTTTCTGTCTAGGTCTACGAGAAGAAGCTCAAGCGAAACGAGGGTGAGTCGCTAGTAATTCATAAATTCAAGTTTATGTCAAATATATGTAAATAAACCACGCATTACCTACTAAACTTTAAAATAAACAAATAATGAAAAAAGCAATATAATAAAAATAACTTACCACGCCACCGCCAGCGGAATGAACGAGAAGACTCTTGCCAGGAGTCAGGTTGGCCATCTCGAAGAGGAGAAGATAAGCTACCACATAATTGGTGGTGATAGCCACCGCGTCCAACGCTGACATGCCCTCGGGCAAGGCATATACATACTGAGCTGGCACAGCTACCAACTCAGCCCATGCTTTGTACTCAGGCAGAGCCACTACTTGGTCGCCAACCTATTAAAAAATAGGTTAATAATAAAATATACAGAGCTAAAATGAGAACTAAAATTTAAATTAAACATTTCCACAAATTGGAATTTTCATCCTCTTGGGTTCAGCACTAATTACCTAGCGTATGAGCTTAAAAATCCTTGAAATAATTGATGAGAGAATTTTTTTATATTATTTCACATTACATTAAAATTAAAATATTTTTAGTTTTTACTAAATATATGTACATAAATAAAATATTATAGGCATTTAAATATATATAAATTATAAATAAAAATAACTTTATAATATATTTTTTTAGAAAGATAACATCAAAAAAAAAAGCTTTATCCTCAAGCGTTAGATAGGTTAAATGACAAAAACTTTCAAGTCACTTTTTATTAGATAAGCTCTAAAGTCTACACTAAACTTGCAATATTGGTAACTTACATATATAAAGCTCACTCTGAATCATACAACTTAGTTGCTAGTTACGATGTTATTCTATTTAATAGGATCATAAACATGATATATAACATCCTTTCATCGTCCATAAAGAAATGAGGTCAATGCGCTGCTAATTTACTTTTAATTATAAGCAATTGACTTCTATAGCAATTTTAAGTGAAATTCGATTACCTCCAATATGAAAACTTATCATTTCATAACCTGTTTTTTCCATCTAATTATTTTTGGTAAAGACGTAATCGTTTAATTTTAAACATACATCAACAAAAAACATTAAATGTAAAGATATAATCAATAAATTGCTAGGTACTTGTGTACTAATTATATTTATTTGTAGTTATGTTATGCTGACACACGTTTAGAAATATATACTATGATAACCTTTATAAATGTTGACGAGTTTTACTTATTGATAAAAAATGACTTAATTGGGCGGGTCCTTTCAATTAAAGTAATAAACAAATAGACGAAGAACTTTTGATATATTTTTTTATAGAAACTGTGTCGAGAATCATAAACGAGATTAGTTTAGTGCATATTATATTTAACTTTTAATTAATTATATAAAATATTAAAAGAGGAACGTAAAAAATAGTAGTAACAATATGAGCTACTAGCGGCTCACCCTCGCTTCGCTCGGGTTCGTCGCTAGGTACGTTTTAAATAGATATAAAAAGAAAAAATCTTTCTTTCTCACATTTTAATTATATGTTTTAATACTTACCTATTCCGGACTAAGAGAAATCCAAAAATTAAAATATCATAAAAATTGGAACGCGGTCGAACGGGATAAAAAGTATCCTATGTCCTTCTCCTGGCTCTAAACTACCTCCCTGCCAATTTTCAGCTAAATCGGTTCAGCCGTTCTTGAGTTATAAGCGAAGTAACTAACACGACTTTCTTTTATATATATAGATATATGTACATATTAGTGCCCGGCTACGAACTGTTATACGATATCTTCGCCAATCGGAAATCAACTTTCATTCAATTCAATTATTTTCAACCGACTTCAAAAAAAGGGAGGTTCTCATTTCGACTGTTTTTGTTATGTTTGTTACCTAAGAACTCCGTCATTTATTAACCGATTTGGACAATTTTTGTGTTGTTTGAAAGTGTTTGGCTAAGTAATTAAAGCCTACCTATTAAATACATACCTAATCAAATATTTTCGAAATCGGTGCCAGCCCATACAAAGCAAAGCACACCGACTTCGAAAATATTTGATTAGGTATGTATAGTAAATGAAAACTACCAATCAGTTATTTTTTACTTTTTAGTGCTTTAGTTTGAAGTCGGTTTTTATTTTTTTGTTATTACCAATACCAACATATCTATACATATAATAAAATTGTAACTAAGCCGAATCTGTACATTAAATATTTTTTGAAAAATCTTATTGAATTAGTCATTATTACCGATACAGAGACTGAATCAATAGTTTTTAGATTTTTATTCTGTCTGTCTGTGACCGCATCACGAGAAAACCAACCATCCGGGTCAACAAATAGGATACTTTTTACTGCGGAAAAATGTATCATCCCTGAGAAATCTATACTAAACAAAAATCTATAAACATCTCAATACTCTTTTGGATATTCCTATATTTTTATAGACGAATAGTGTTTTCTTAGTAAACAATTATAATATAGAGTAATACATTACCTTGAAATTGGTGACACCCTCGCCTACTTGCTCGATCTCACCGGCACATTCAAATCCAAGGATGAATGGGGTTTTGGGAGGAGAGTCGATAGCGCCTTGTCGCACGATCAGATCTTGGAAGTTCAGACCGCTGTAGGAGAAGAAATTATGTCATTTTAATCATATAATAAAACAAAATGTTGCACTTATAGAAGACTATTTTTACGTAGAAAGTAAAACACAAAAAAATTATCTATTTCGTAAAATAAATACATTATATAAGTAAGTTCTATGTTTATCCATCCATAGAACAGACGATAAGTACGTAATATGTATCACGAGTTCTTGAAGTAAAAAACATGAGTAAATATTATACAGTATATTATAATATGGATCTCGTTACCATTTAATAAAACTGGAAGACTAATTAATGTAGTGAGGCAGAGGAATGCGGTAGCCATTTGTTATTGTGCGCCAGAACACAAACGGAATAAAGAAACGTATATTATTTAAATGTTGGTACCATTGGTACATGTCTATGTATCAATCATCCATCGTGATGTGCACGCTCTGACACCTGCCCGTTGGTAGGCACTACGTCTCCAACCACGATGTAAGCAATCGATATTTGATTTTTTTATTTATAGTAATGTATCATAGTTACCTTACGACTTTATACCTTATAAAAAAAAATAAAGTTACGTTATACACATAAAAATATAGAGACTAGTTAAAGAAATTGTAAATATGCTTGTGTTAACAGGATTTTTACAAAAGTATGTGTTGTAAATTAAAAAACACAAAAAAGGTTTTTCTCATAGTAGGTAATTCTCATAGTTGAAACTCCCCTTCTGAAAACCGTTTCAACCTAAATATTAATTTTGACTAAATAGCTGTAAAGCTTCTATAGGATTACACTCTCTATTATTTTGTAACTTTATCAGTAAAACTGATGGGTAAATCTAAACAAATATTAAAATGGAATTAAATTACCTACTGCTTTTTACCAAATTACAATTTTTGTTTAGTAATAAATGTTATTTAACGGAAATAACACCCAAAATATTGTATTCATTAGCTCAATATTTCGAAAATGTATACGTGCGGATATTTTAAACGTAATGTTACACGTATGATTCATGGTGATTGGGCCTGCATGCGTAGTAGCGCAAATACATGTAATTGTTGTAGTGTTGGTACGTGCTCCGTGTTATAAACCGCGGGCGTCGGTCGAAGTAATCGATATTTGCGTTTGTCTCCTCCCACCTACCACTATGGCTGCCATAAAGATTTACAAACTGCTATCGATTTACCTAACCTATAATCTAGTATGCATAGGTCGATTTTATACTCGACCTCATATATTTATTAACTATACTGGTGAATTATCCTAGTTTCGCTCGGGTGCACCTATGACCTAGGTGACTAAAAATATGGGTTTTAGTGAGTAGGAGTCTCACAGTACCCTGCCCGTTGACGGTCTGCAGGCCCATGATGGATTTCCCCAGCGTTATCAAAAAAAAAAAGGTGACTAACAATATATGTTTCTCCAGGTCTATCTGTGAATTAAATATCATCCAAAGCCGACAGGCAGTTTCTGCGTGAAGAAGTAACAAACATACACACATATTTTCCCATTTCAAATAGTAGTCAGATTTACAATAATAATTAAAGATTTTTTGGATTGCAACGCAATAAAATGTTTATGTGTCTGTCGGTAAGCATCATCACTCGATAACGACTGGGTTTTAAGTCCTTATTTTTCTTTTCCTGCTCGTAATGCGACTTAAAATTCAATGCATTACATCGATTGTTTAATCGATTGCAAAGAAACAGGTTGAAGTCTCCCTACTACGAAATCCAATTAATGAGCGAGGTCCCATTTCGTTGTAAATTAAATAAAAATTTGCACGTGTGGGTAGTCGATGGTGTGGTATGAATAATTTAAATATCAGATTTACTGCTTCTCCAAATTAAATTTATATGGCTATTTATCCTACCATATTTTTATTTATTAGAACTAATATTCATAGAACCTAACTAGAGTAAGTACTTATCTACAAGTAGGTATCTAACTTAACAATCTCCATTGAGCAAATTGTGTTCTAGGTACAACACCGGTAATAACATAAAAATTTTAATTCTAATACATTCATCGACAACGAATCGCTCTGTTTCGACATGTAATCAGATTAGTGATTTTTTTCTTTTTTTTACCGGTCATTCTATATATAACGTGCATTCTCCATTCTACGCGACATTGGCGAAGTAAATTGTGCCCAAAGGCACTCCTAGAAGCCACAAACCTAAAGAATTGAATTATATTTCATCGCAGCAGATTCACTTTAAAAATAAAGATAGTACTTCGACGAAAAGCAGCCCTAAACATTCATCAAGGCATATTATTGAAATAATGCAGTCTTACACACAATAGCTGTGACGTCTGCATATTGTTTACTCACATTACTCTTTTACTGGCTACTTACTGTTTATAACAAGTTCTACAAGTGAGAATCGATAAGCATCTATATTTTTTAAATAAGAATATAAATTGCTTTATTTTGTCTGTGGTTTATTCTTTTGACAAGAATAACACAATTATTAAAAAAAACAGTACAGGATATTTGATTGTATTTAAATATATCTGCATTATGTAACCTACACCATCGAAATGTTCACATTCTCAATCTGGGTGGTCTCACGTGCGTGGAAACCTAAATGAGATCAAGGAGGAAGTATAAAAGGAATTTAAAAAACATAACAAAAACAACTTAAATCATTATTATTCATTATATTGTTATTTAACTAATGATCCGTCCTTGGTACGTTTGGTTTTAGAAAATTTATAAATATCATATTTTCATTTCAATATATAATATATAGCTTAGGTCATTCTCTGACTCAAAAACTATCCCTATGAAAAACATAAGCACATTGATCTGATCATGATGATGATTGATCTAATATTATGTTACTGTGTAAAGGAACGGGAAACCAACAGATAAAATTTAATTTTCAACAATATGTGCTTGTTACCTTCAATCGCATCTATATAGGGTATTCCGATTTCTGAGTTTTTAGCAAATATGCAGTCTTTTATATTTAAAACCTGCAAAAAATCCCAGGTTCCTAATCTGAACTGCACCTGTGGTGCAATGACGATGATACTCAATAAAAAAAAATTGTGAATGAACATGACTCACAATTGCTACAAAAATTGTGTCTTCCTATTAAAATGACCTTTATTCGGAGTGAATGAATCACAGTTCGCGGCGGGCTCATTGTTTACATTGTTTCGTTATTTGCTTGATTCATTTGAGGGGTCGGCCGCCGCCGATCGGGTAAGTATAGGGAGCGGTCCCCTCTTCGGTCTGACACTAAAATAATATTAATGTGAGCCCTATGTAATTGGAAATAATTACATTTGCGTGAGACTTCGTAGAAAGGACTCTTTCATAGTCTGTAATGTTAGTAACGGCTAGCGCCCGCATACTTTTTATTGGCTAAATTGGACACGGGTTGCACCGTTTTATTTTAAACCTTTCCTCCATTATCAATGATCGTAAGAGACTCAAACGCCCGTGAGTCGGAATGCTAAGCTGAGATAATCTCCGGCACCAAGTCTCGTTTACTCGCATTGAATTTTCCACGCACGCTACCTGACCGTTTATTCAACGATTTGAATGGCTTCCTTTTACATCAATAGATCGTAATATGCGCAGGTAAAAAGATTAGTTTAAAGATGCAATAGAGGCTAAATTAGGCTCTTTTAAAAATATTCAACTGTAAAAGTAACAAAAATATATTTTAAAAACTAGCATTGCCCGCGGCTCCGCTCCCGTCCAGATGACCAAAAACCAAATCCTTAGGTTTTACATATTAGTATACACATTGCAGTTTTTGTATTTTTTTCTCAAAAATGAGATATTTTCCCGCGGTAAAAAGTATCCTATATGTTGACACGGATAACCAGCTATCATCATACCAAATTTCATCAAAATCTGTCCAGTGGTTGTCTCGTGATGCGGTAACAGACAGACAGACAAAAATTCTAAAAACTATAGTTTCGCATTCTGTATTGATAATAATGTCTATTTCAATTAAATTTCCCAAAAAATATTTAATGTACAGATTCGACTAAGTTAGAATTTTATTATATGTATAGATTATTTTGCTTAAGTATACTTTTTTGTATTTTAAAATGTTGAATATTTAATTCTAGTTGCCAATTGCGTGACTCAGTTGTACCTAATTGTAATGAGGCCTTTAGCTGATAAAACCTAATGTCGCCAACAAACGAATCGCTAAAACAAACCTATCAACCCTGCCCTCATTTGATAATCTTAATTACGACCCCCCCATTTCCATTATTGTTTGATACATATTATATATATATATATATATATATATATATATATATATATATATATATATATATATATATAGACCAAACTCTTAGTCACTTTGCATGAAATAGGTGATATATTGTTAATTACATATTACCAACCTAAATCATATTTATTATTATAATAAAATACTCGTGCAAATGTAATCAAATTGAAACCTTTCGACAAACCAGTAAAGGTATTCTCATTAAAGCGATTACAACCCTAGCAAAGCAATAATGCGATTAATGCATTATGTAGAATTTCTATTCACGCAATTCAAATAACTTTCCGGTTTATTAAACAGTGCCGAATGATACGCGAAGAATAATGATGATTTAGTATTCTTAAGTTCGCACTACGACACCCTCTATGTTAGATATTCGATTAAAATGTTCAAATGAATGAGAAAGCACCCCAGTTCGGGGTAATTTTAAATTGCATCGGACCCAAGCGTCGGTTCGACGCGACCCGGCGGCGGCGAGCGTCGCGACGACGCGTCAGGGCGCCTGTATACCGCCTAGTAGCTCAAACACGCAACCTAGGTACCAGTCATGAATTCATAAACTAACACGAACTTTACTAAAATGTAATGTAACTTTACATATCTGATAGAGAATACAAGATTATTACAATAAAAAATATATATAGTACTAGCGACTGACCCTTGCTTTGCTCGGGTTTGCACTACAAACTTTCATCCCCATTTTCACCCCCTTAAGGGATGATTTCTGGTATAAAAAGTATTCTATATCCTTTCCAGGGT